CTAATGGTAGACCCTGCTGCTATATAGCATCACAAAAATTGTGACCAAGTCCCAGGTTGCTGATCAGACTTTCTGCCTCATTTACACACAATTGCAGGGTCTCAATTGTTTCTCTTACTTTGACAACACTACATACATATATCATTTCTCACTTTATTTTTTTTTAATTTGTGTACTGTATTTATTTATGGCACTTTATTATTATTATTATTTATAATTTTTTTTAACTTTCTTCTTCTTCTTCTTCTTAATATTATTATTATTATTTCACTCCCCAAGCCTTGATGTGGGTCATTATAAAATGACCTGTGCCCGGGTGGGCTAATGACGGAAAAAAAAAAGGTAAATCTGTGCTTATGATTAACACTTTCTAGAGTGCATCAGAAAGTTAAAGAAATTGCAACCTTTGAAATGATGAATTTACTGATACTTTCTGGACTGCATTACATAGCTAAAAGTAACATTTACTGTTTGTGTTACAGGTTGACAATCCCTTATCCGAAATCCTTGGGGCCAGAGGCATTTCGGAATTATTCGGTTTTCAGAATGTTTTGTTTTTTTGTTTTTGTTTTTATTTTTTTTGTATTAGCCCACCCAGGCACAAGTCACTGACCCACATTGGGGCCTGGGAGGCGAAAATATAATAATAATTATAATAATTATAATAATAATAATAATAATAATAATAATTCATAGGTCTAGGTCGTGTTTCTCACTTTTTATCTTTTTTCATTCTTGTATTTCTTTATTATTATTATTATTATTTTATTAATACATTATTATTATTATTATTATTATTATTATTAATTTTATTATTATATTTTATTATTATTATTATTGTTATTATTATTATTTTATTTTGGGGTATTTTTTATTACAATTTTTATTTACTATGAATAATTATTATTATTATAATTAGTATTACTATTACATTTTCGCCCCCCAGGCCCCGATGTGGGTCAGTGAGCTATGCCTGAGTGAGCTAATCCCTGTTTAAAAAAAAAAAAAAAAAAAAAAAAACTTTCGGTTTTCGGAATTTCGGATAAAGGGTTGTCAACCTGTATCAAGGTATAAGTCTCTTCCTATGACTACTATTTAATTAAGAAGTCAGCACCTGGGTAAAACAAGTAAAATTAAAGTAAAAAAAAAAAATTTAATATGAAATGTTTTTGCACTGACTGAAGTGCTTTCACTCTGGCTGCAAAGTGTTGCTGAGGGTCTTCGGTCTGGGAAGGCCAGGATTCTCAGGAAAACCATGTCTCTGGAGGTGAAGTTGGACATTGTGAAGTGACATGAGAGAGGTGAGGGAGGATGCTACATTGCTCACGCTCCTGGCCTGGTCCAGGGTTTTATAGAAGCGTGATCTCATCATGGAGAGGATGGAGAGTCTACTCCAAGAGTAGAATGAAGAGTAGACTCCACATCGCTTGCCTCTCTCCACAGGGGTCATCATGGCGAAGGCCAGTAATATTTGGATGAGGCTGAAGGCAGAGAGTAGTGGTTCAACAGTTTCAAGAACTATGCCAATTCCCACAACATTCATCTCGCTAGTGAGGCAGCTAGTGCTGACATTGTGAGTGTTCACACCTACCCGGCACTCCTGAAGGCTAAGGTGGAGGAAGGAGGATACAACACCAAGTAGGTCCCAAAGTTTGACATGGTGGGCCTGTTTTGGAAAAGGATGCCATCGAAGATTTTCCTGGCCAAGGATGAGAAGACTGCACCAGGCTTTAAGGTTGCCAAGGACCACCTCACATTGCTGCTTGGAGGCAATGCTCAGGGGCACCTTAAGCTCACTCTGATGCTGGTTTACCACTCAGATACCCATAAATCTTTTAAGGGGTTTATTAAGGAGCCCCCCCCAGTCATCTGGTGCTCAATCAAGAAGACCTGGGTCACAATGGTGCTGTGTCAGAGTTATGTGGTTGGCTAACTCTCTAACCACCTCAAGGAATACGCCAAAAAGCAGAATATCGCCAACAAGTTTCTTCTGATCCTCAGCAATGTGCCTTCACACCTGCGTCTGATGAGTGAGTGGACTGACAACATCACTGTGATGTTCCTGCCTCCAACACCACCTCACTCATCCAGCTAATAGATCAGGGCATCATCTCCACCTTCAAGACAGTTGATGGCGCAGATGGTTGAGGCGACATATGGAGGGGGGAAAGCCGACCATCAAAGAATTCTTGCATGGCTACAACATCAAGCACGCCATACAAAATATCGACAAGTTATCGAAGGAGATCACACAGTTGCATGAATGGCGTGTGGAGGAAAGTGTGGCCTGAGTGTGTGCATGACTTTGGTGGCTTCACCAATGTTGTAGCTGTACACCACAACTTTGCCAGCATCTCCAAGGAGGCCAGCTTTGAGGAGGTCGATGACAGAAATGTGGCAGAGGTCTTAGCGAGCCATTTTGTGCTCAGCATTGAGGACTTGCTGCTACAGGAATAGCAGCAAGGAGTGGAGGAGTCAGCACGTAAGGAGGAAAACCCTGCACTCAAGACCGACTTTGAAGGTGTTGAGCACTGCCATTGACAGAGTGAACTCTACTGTGGATCTCCTTACTGAAAATGACCCAAACTTCAACAGGTAACAATCACCTTCTTTTTCAAGCCCGTCACAGTCACAACCCTCGACTTCTGGGGTCACCAGCACTGCAGGACCCTCCTCATCTGACACCTCTCCAGTTTCACCCCCAAGTACTTCACATTCTTTAAGGTCAGGACGAAGGCTACACCTCCAGTCCCCATTCTAGCCTTTTCAGACTTCCCAGAGTCTATGTGGGACTCAGAGTGATGTCTCCACTCCACCTTAAGAGTCCCTATGACCTCAAAAGGGGACATGTGATGACGACCAGACTTGCTCATTGTGATGTGGTGAGTGTTGTTTAATTGTTTTGTAGGGCTAGTAATCTTGTAGGATTTTTTTTTCTGTGATGCATTTGGGTGTTTGATTGGCCAGGAACCTATCTCATTGAACCTCTTGCTGTCATACTCCCAATTTATGATAATTTGGTTTACGATAGGGTTTTCAGGAATTTAATTCCACCTTAAACTGGGGGATTAATATATTAATATATTTCTTAATAATTTGTTTACATAAATTGTTTTAGTAACCTTTAGTTACTAAATAGAGTTAAATTGGGAAAACCCTAGTACAGTGTTGTATAATATTATAATACTGGTTTCAGATCAGAAAAGTTGGTAGCTTTGCTCAGGCTGATGCAAGGCAGGGGATGTTTTGGTGGGCAGAGACCTGTGAGAAGTCAACCCACACACACCACGCACTATTAACTCTCAAATTTCTGTATAGAGGGTCTCCCTGTGCTGAGTAAAACCATCTGGTGTTATTCAAATAATATTTTTATGACCCTGCTTTCACTGCTTACCCAGCTTCCACCACTGGTTACCAGCGGCCAGGGGCGTATGTACAAAAGCAGCAGATATATCACAAGTGTCGTCGAATTACCACTGGCTCTCCCGCCAGTCTCCAGTAATTTCCCAACGATTGGTATCAGTGTACAGGTACTCCTAGACTTACGACTACCTGGACATACGACCGCCGCAGTCGTAATTTTTTTTTTCAAATTCCGTATTTTCGAGTCCCGACGTTAGTGATCGCGCTGTGTACTGACAAAATTTTCATTTGTAATTCCCTTTAAAATGGCTGGCAAGCGTAAAAATGAGAGTTATCACGGTGCTGAGAAGAAAAAGAGACACCCAGAAATTGATGTAAATCTACCCAAAAATACAGTTGAAAAAATTGTACATTATTAAAATGTACTAATGTACTAAAATTTTTATCTCTTGTGCAAAATATATGACGTTTATATTAAAATTAATCACTACAGTGGTCCCTCGGTTAACGAACACAATTCATTCCACAGAGTCTTTCGTTAACCGAATCCATTGTTTCAATGAGATATTGGGTAATTGGTTCCAGCTCACAGAAAAGTACATACACAGTAAAAAAAAAAATGCAGTTAAGTACACTTACTTTGAGGTGTGTATGTAGAAGGTTCCTTGATGATGATGGAAATTAGAAGTGGGGGTGGAGGAGAAAGGAGAAGAAAAGGAAGTGGGGGTGGAGGAGAAATCACCTTTCAGGGGATCCATGCTTGATGCAGTAATTTCACCAATAAAATTTTAAGTTCACTAGGTGTAATTCAAGATTATTTTATTTAAATCAACACTGCACTGAGCTATATATTATCAATATGTTAACTAAATTTCAGAATGACCAATAATTTAAATGTAAAAATGCAAAAATATTCAAGACACCAACAAAATAGATGTTCACTCCACTGTCAACAAAGCCAAACTGACGCCTGGTGGCTGAGTCAAGCGGCTGATGGGCACACAAAAAACTAGTTCCCTGTACTGCATATATTATCAATATGTTAACTAAATTTTAAAATGACTAATAATTTTAATATAAAAAATGCAAAAATATTAAAGAGTACAACTTTCTTGATATTTACTCCACTGGAAACGAATGTAAACATTGAACAGATTACTGAATGGGCAGACTAGCCCATCAGCTGATGCTCACAACAAAAGTGTTGTTCGCAAGGATTTCGTTAATCAAAGCTTTGTTTGTTAACCGAATTGAAGATCCTTATGGGAGTCTTTTCACTTTATATTGATCACAACAATTCCACAATACTTGCACAACAATTATATTCAGTTGTCCTACTAGGCTTGTTGTACTTTACACAGTAGAAACGGTCAACTGACTCATAGCCTGCTTGCGGGTGTTTATATACGTCTCGTCAGACACCTAGAGTATCGTAGCACAACCCAAATAAGTCTGGGAAGTTCTAGTACGTTCTACTCTGATCGAGGCTTACAATAGGAAGTAACTCCTAACAAAAATGATGCAATACATTCGAGAAAATTCTTGCATACCCGGTAAGTAATAATTCAATATATACAAGAAAATATCCTTAAACTTGGCAAAATAACTGCTGCTTGGGACAGAAAATAATCAAAACACCTAGTTTACAAACATTGTAATACCAAATTATGCCTCAGCATTACAATATACAGTACAGTATTAAGTGGTGTACCCACAGTGAAGGGGTTTAACTAATTTGTGCAAGAAAAATTATCCATGTTATAAGTTCGAAATGAACCAGTTCAGTTGAAACTGATTAGTTTTTTGGAGAGTGTTTGAAGTAAGTATATTGTAAAATTCCTATTTTAAGCAAAGCATCTTTCATGTTTCATATCAATAAAACAAATCATTCTCCTTGGTGAGTTCTGAACTAGATTTGAAGGTTAATACAATCATCCCTGCACCTAAACCAAGAGGATCTTGGCCACATAATATTGACAATAATTGCTAAAATGTTTTACAAATCCTCAGAGAAACAATTTTAACTCAAATAAGATACACTGTATGTGTCTATAGAAGTTCATTCTTCATTAACATTCATACTCGAGAGCATTACATACATGGACAATTTTGCCATTCCTGGAATACACTCTGGCCAGGCGAGTTGACCAATTACCTGGCATCTCATATACGGCTGCCCCTAAGTTTCTTGCCATACCTACGGCAGATGTAACATCATCAAAATCATCAGTGATAACTTGAAACACATCATCCTCTCCCGGAGCTTCAGGGAGTCGAACAGTGATGGAATCCATAGACACCCTGCCCACAATTGGGCATAACTCACCTGTAAAAATTAAATTACTGTTGAGGTCATATTGACTGTAAAATAAATTAACTGTGTTTACAATATTCAGAAGGCTATAAAATCACCTTACAGGTACAGTATAGTCTGGATTTACGCGGTTTTTGTTTACGCGTTTGGTCATTTATGTGGTGCCTTGCCAGAATGAAAATGTTTTAATTACGCGGTAATTTGGTCGTTTACGCAGTGAGCGGCTGAAGGTCCAGACGCGCCGCGCCATTTTTTATTCACGCGGTCCATTCTCGACCATACGCGGGAAGCGCCGCAGATATGGGTGCGCAGTATGTCGCTGTTGCGTTATCGCTGACGTCATATGACGTATGGGACTGTGATTGGGCCACTTATCCTTACCTACCTCCGCCGCTAGCTGTGATTGGTCTAATGTTATAAGACGTGGCCTGGCACGGGAGAGAAGCTGCTGACCTAGCCGCATCAGTCTCATTGTTCTCAGTCATCGCGTATACTGTTCTCTCTTGTGCCCGCTAATCTGTTCAACAATGGCTTCCGCTGGACCCCCACCACCCTAGAGAAACCTTGCCTTACCTGGACCAAGCCGCCCCAAGCCCAAGAAGATACGACGTGCCCTAAGTTACGAAGTTAAGTACAAGATCGTGCAAGAGTTGGAGAAAGGAACGAGACAAGTTGATTTGGCGCGAACGAATCTACGATCCGGACGATCAAGAAGGATGCCGCCAAGATTAAATAACACATGAGCATCACAAAGTCTGCAGGTGCTTCAATGGTGAAGTATTGTCAGAATAAGGTGCTGCTCAAGACTGAGAACTTACTGGTGAGCTACTTAATTCGTCAGGCAAGACGTAACATGGCTGTGGACACGCGGGCAGTGCAGGACTACGCTCGTGAACTGTACTCATCAGTGGCGCACAAGATGGGAATTGCAGAGCCCAAACCCTTCACTGCTTCCTCTGAGTGGCTGCAAGGGTTTAAGAAACGGAACAAGATTACCAACATTAACATTATTGGTCAAGGAGCCAGTGCTAACCGTGCTGCCGCCATGGATTTTCCTCCATTCTTACAAGAAGTTATGGAGGAAGGACAGTACACTGGCAACCAGGTGTTCAACATGGATGAATCCGGTCTGTTTTGGAAAAAATTACCTTCTAAGACCTTCGTTATCAAGTCTGAAAGCAAGTGTCGTGGCTGGAAGTTGCAGAAGGAGCGCATCACCGTCCTGTTTACCACCAATGCCTCCGGTACCTGTAAGCTCAAGTTGTCGGTGATCCACACAGCCCGCAAACCGCACGCCTACAAGAACATGAACATGACCAAGCTAAATGTCCACTGGCTAACCTCACATAAGGCGTGGATGTTCACTGGTCTGTCCCTCTCCTGGTTTGACGACTGTTTCGTTCCTGACGTGAAGAAATTCTGCATGCAAAATAATGTGCCATTCAACATTTTGTTGCTGCTTGACAACGCACCAGGACACTCGCCCCTACTGTTGGATCGTCACCCCAGTGTAAAAGTGGTCTTCCTTCCTCCCAACACTACGTCGTTAATCCAGCCCATGGACCAGGAGTTGATATGCAACGTGAAGGCGGCATTCTCTGCAAAGAAGCTTAAGCTCCTGAACGACTACACCAACACCAAGGATGAGTTGCGTAACCTTCTGAGTGGCAGAGATAGCGAGAGCGACGACGACGAGGATCCAGAACAAGAGTTGGCGGAGCATGAAGTGCGAATTAAACAGTTTTGGAGGCATGGGGGCAGCTGTCTGTGGCAACGATTCGTCAAGCGTGGCGGCATGTGTTGCAAGGTATCCCAGGTGGGAGGCAGAAGCAACCTGTGGCTGGTGAGGTTCAGTCTGTTGCAGTGGCAATGGACCTTGCAAGAGAAGCTGCACAGAGTGTTACAGCTGCAGGCTTCTCCGAGACCACCAACGACGACATCATAGAAGTAATCAGGGATCCTGAGGTGGCTGCCGACGAGATGTTGCAAGACGATGACGTCAGTGAGGAGGCAGGTGGTGCGGCAGCAAGAGAACAGAAGTTAACTCATGGTGATGTAAAGGATGCCATCGAGTTTGCTGAGAAACTAAAACTCATCCTTTCCAAAGAGCCTGTCAATCACCGGTATGAAGTCTTCAATAACCTTCTAGACCAAAGTATGGAGCAGTACATCCAGATGTATCACGACCACATCAACACTAGCCGTCAGCGTAGCATCACTGACTTCTTCGCCCGCAACCCCCCACAGCCAGCCCAAATCGGTGATAGTGACAGTGATGGTGACTTTGAGGGGTTTGTCAGGGAGGCCCTGACATCTGTGGTGGATAGTGATACAAGTGATTCACCTGAGGGCCACTAATCTGTCCTCTGCCTCGGAACCAGCCCCCATCCTCGTATGCCGACCCATCTCTTCTAATAACGTAAGTGTTAAACCTTGATTTTTCTTTTACCTGGTACAGTATATTATTCTCTTATTGATATTTCTCTTCTATAATATGTGTGTGTGTGCATACCATCATAAAATTAAGATACTGTTTTTACTACAATGTAGGTATTGTGTCGGAAAAAGTGGAGTTTGGGGGTCGGCCCAGTCTCTATTTCAATTAATCCCATATGTTCTGTTATTTCAATTACGCGTTTCTCGTTTTACGCGGACCTCCACGGGTTCAATTGACCGCGTAAATGCAGACTATACTGTACAAAAAAAAAAATTAGTGCTACTAAAATACACTACAATACTATAAATATTGCAATTTTTTCACTGAAAGTACAGTACAGTACAATTAATTTGGTTAATGCAGTACAGTATCATTTTGTGAAACCCCACCAAATGAATGCATAGAGAAGAATACAGTATTGATTTTGAAAGGCATTCTGGTATTTAAATTTTTTCCCTACTTATTGACTAACATTAAAATACTTTAAGGATAGTTAAGTAGAAGTAGACGGGTCAATTTAGCTCGAACAGCTTCTTATTTGAGCATAATCCAGATGAAAGTATTACCGTACTGTATATACTCGAGTTTAAACTGATGTCATACACTATAGTTTGACCCCTGATTTGGGGGAAAAAAGCCCCATGTTTTTCATATATCTATTGTATAATTCAACCCTAGCTTTTGAGAAATACTAGGTATAATCTTAACATAATTTGTAGCAAGACAATACCAACACGTCTTGGCTGTGACCACCACCACAACAACAGCTAATGCTATGAACAGTGTTACCATCTCCTGTTAGGAATAAGATAAAATATTATATATATTCTAGCAAATTTTTATCATGTGAGGAATAGATAAAAATACTGTATTACCAATAAAAAATAAATAACAAATACTATATTGCCAATTGGCTGCTGAACGATGAAATTTCTCAATACAGTACAGTAGTTTCACTACACATGGGAGACAGCTCAGAACAGCTGAGATCTCTCAATCCCCCACTCAGCATGAACTCTCAACACAGGAAGAAAGTTTATTCCCATTTATGTTTTTGACCTTATGATTTTTTGGGGCACATACTGTATGCACTGGAAGATTATGTGTATGTGTAACTTAGTAAAAAAATTAAGAACATTCTGTATAGTACTGTATCTACCCAAACTTACGAATTGAAAAATTGCCATAACATAGCTCACAGCCTGACTTGGAGTGGTAGGGAGCGGGTCAAGGGGATGCTACAATAGTGATAAAGAGTTTTGTGTTACTATTAAAAATATACAAAACTAATATAAATAATGAAGAACATGCAAAAAATATATATTTCACAGATGTAAAGTAATGGCCTACACGGTAAGTCAAAAGGCTGAATCAAACTCACAACTCCATGTACCTCTTTCCCAACATTCATAAACCATATCACCTACTTTTCTTATGTTATTTAACAATTGTGCTACTTAAAACATTTGTATACAATCTAGATGAATAAAATGCAGCTAAAACCATTAAGGAAAAGCTAAATGAAAGTTTAACACAACCGCCATTTGCATAGACGCTGGCTGCTTCATCAAAGCTACACAACCCAGCCTCTGCTAACTTTTGCACACAAAGAAATGCGTATTCCCTCTACAGTATGTGTTTGACCTTATGATAATTATTTCTTTTACTTTTATTTTTGCACAATATCTGTAGGATTGTTTGTGCATGTACTGTAACCGAGTATGAAAAATGAAGAAAGTTACGTATATTTATCCCGAACTATGAACTGAATAATAATCATAACACCTCACAGTTCCGTGAGGTATGGAGAGGGCTAAGGTAATGTGGGTACAGTGACATGTCTAACTAGGCAACAATGCTGCTAGCAATGTTAAAAGATGTAAATGAAAAGAAAATTATCTGTAAATCTTCATTTGTAACAGATATTTGTAGAATTAAAGCAGTACAGATATACTCATACAGTGAATGAGATTCTGTTCTTCATGGTAGGCAAACCCAGGATAAAGGAGCTTACTAGTAAGGTTAGCCTCAAGCATGTACCGAGTAGCTATTGTTCACTGTAAATGACCCACGGCAATGCATTTATTTTAACCCTGACTGCATAACCAAAGTAAAGAGGCAATTACTAATCACAAGGGAAAGAGATACTGGACAGGTCCTCCAGCGCCTAGGAACTCTGCAGAAGTGTGTTGAAGAGTTGACAACTATAGTACATTTTTTTCCAGCTGAGAAGAGTTGCCACGCCCCCTCCTTAAGAGTTACAGCTGATTGGGTGTTTCAAATCTGTCTGATTTCTTCCAGAAGTAATGATGTACAGTACAGTACAGGTTGTACCTCTCTAGTCCGGCAACCTCGGGACCTGACCGGTGCCGGACCATGGAAATTGCCGGACCATGGAAATTCACCCTTTTCCTGGATAGATAGTGACTTGTGCTTATGCCTGGAAGCACTAGCACCACTTTCTCTGCGTCATGGTCTCTTTGAAGACATATTGAAGGGTTAAATGTCGTATAGTAGCTTCTCAAATTTCGCGAGTTTTTAATTCTTAACGTATTTTATTGGAACACACAAAAAAATAAATAAATAAAAATTTTGACGGCGGAAACTTGAATTTCGACGGGTTTGAACGGCCCGCCAACGTGCAGACGACGTGCATAATCGTGTAAACAGCGTCATTTCTCTTATGTACAAAAGATTCATTATTGTTTATTACTGAATGTCTTTTTTATTGAATTAATGTTTATGTGTGCAAAATGAGCAATACAATTCATTAATAATACGTAGAAAATTAAAACACATGAGGAAATGACACAGCATTGTTTTCGTTGATTACAAAACCAGTGACTGACTGGTTCTACATATAAAACTGAAGAAAATAAGACCTTGGTTGTAGCTGTAGTAAAATTAATATGGTTGTTTTAAGTAATGTTATTTAATGTTAATAAATGGAACAATAGAAGTAGCTAACGATAATGGTAAAGAAAAAGAGAGATCGCATATGTAAGTGCGCATGCGCACACGTGAAAACATATCGTCATTACTTTACATAAGAATATGAAAGCAACACTTATTTACTGTTCATATATATTTTAATTAATGTTTCTGAATTTGTTTTTATTGAATTAATGTACGTGTGTGCAAAATTAACAATACAATTTATTAATAATACGTGGAATATTAGAGGAGACGAGACGGCTGCCGGCATTGTTTATGTTAAAGCTTACGAAACCAGTGACTGATTGGTTCTACATATAAAACTGAAGAAAATAAGACCCTGAGTTTAGCTGTAGTAAAATTAATGTAAAAAATGAATATGGTTGCTTGAAGTACCTGTAATGTTATTTAATGTTAATAAATGGAACAATATAAGTAGCTAACCATTAATGGTAAAAAAAAAGTGAGACTGCTCGTATGTAAGTGCGCACATGTGAAAATATATCGTCATTACTCTACATAAGAATATGAAAGCAACACTTATTTACTGCTCATATATATTGAAGGGTTAAATGTTGTACTCTGTATAGACAAGCAGAGAGAGAGAGAGAGCAGCCGAACTGCCGGATGTAAACAAACCTTAATTTCCCGCGGCTTTTTTTTTTTTTTTTTAAGGGGATTAGCCCACCCGGGCATAGGTCACTGACCCACATTGGGGCCTGAGGGGCAAAAATTTAATACTCCTGTAATAATAATAATAATTCAGATAAGTAAAAAAAAAAAAAAAAAAAAAAAAAAAAAAAAAAAAAAAAAAAAAAAAAAAAAAAAGCTGCCTATCTACCTATTGGACAGACTAAAATCGTTCCGGACCACGGGAGTTTCCGGACCACAGAATGCCTGACTAGAGAGGTACAACCTGTATTTCTAAGTGAGTTTATTCATAATCGTTGGGATGACCGTTTCTGACGAGAAGATATTTACCTAAATTATATGAAGATACATACATTCATTATTTCAAACATGAGCATGTAGGGAGGTTATCAGAAATCTTATACACAGAAGTTTATCAGAAATCTTATACAGTATTACCCCGCTTTACGCGGTTTCACTTTACGTGATTTCTCGTATACACGGTGCCTCGCCAGAACCGAACTTTCACTTTCCGCGGTTCATCTACCCACATACACGCAGAGTGTCCGGCTCGACGCTATTTTTAGATTCGCCCCACCCGCCTGCTCCCGCCTCCGCCTGGGCAAGCCGCGCGGTAAGGTTGCGCAGTGCATGTCTCTGTTGCGTTATCACTGACGTCATATGACGTATCGGACTGTGATTGGCCATGCATCCCTACCCCCCTCTGCTGCTAGCTGTAATTGGTTTAGAGTAATATGACGTGTCCACCCGGGGAGGGAGGGAGGGCCGTGGCAGTTTCATCCCTCCAGGCCACACCGTGTATACGTGCATCCATTGTTCTGTGATAGTGATAGTGACAGTGAAGGTGACTGAGGGATTTGTCAGGGAAGACCTGACAACTGTAACTGATAGTGATGGTGATGCACCTAGTAAGGGGAATTAATGTACACTTAATGTAGAGGTTTTCAGGAAAACATCAAGTATGTTAAGCAGGCACAGACTGTACAGTGTATAATTGTAAGAGTACAAATGTGATATATGAATATACTAATACAGTAGTATAAAAAACAAATGCAGTGTACAGTATAAAAATTCAGTATAAATAATTTCAGGATCTACTTTACACCACAAGCCAGTTTGAGAATATTATTTTGAGATGTACTAAATAGTTTATGCAGATAAATTTAAAATTAATCACTTGACTGACCTGTTTTAACTCTCTTCACTGCCCCAACACCATTGCTGAGGCGTCGACTAAGCCCATCAGACCAGCCTGTGGTGAAGTTGGCTATCCACTCATCACCACGAGTTTCATAAGTGGCATCATAGCCAATGAAGCGACCTGCCGGCAGTAGCTTAAAGTAAGTTGGCCGTACCACTACAGAGAATGCTGGACGGAATCCACAGTTAGCAAACTGCTGTGCACTTTCACGATCAGCACCTGAGGAGTAGAGAAGGGCAGTGGTTAGCTAACTCTATGAAAATGATGATAAATAGATAACACTGATGATTCTTTGCAGGGCCGGGGCGACTCACTAGGCAACTCGGACGATCACCTAGGGCACTAACATTTGGGGTCACCACAAATTCTGGACATCAGATAAAATTACCTAATCTAAGTAAAATTACAAAAACTTAATAATGAAGAGAGGAATGGCTAGGACTGACAACATTTATGTTAAAAAATACCTTTGTTGAGGAAGTGTTTTATTAAAATTACAACATTTCACTCTCATGACCAAACCCAGGACAGTGGGGGATGGAGCATGTGAGGTGGGGGAGGGCTGGAAGAGGTGATATGGACAGGGAGGGGGTCATTTGATGTGTCATATGTTACAGAAAAAACACAAAAACTAGTTATTTTACAAATATACTGTACAATGATTTTAAGAAACAGAGGAGAGTGGAATCACTTTGTATTAAATTTTTTAATATTTTAACTTCAGTGATGGCATGTTCAAGCTGGATTCTGTGATGCAAGCACAGGTTGTCAGGTCCCTGCTGGCAAATGTGTTACTGGAACTTGTTTAAGGTGACTGCTGTGGTGATGCATCATAGGGTATGGGAATCACATGTACTGGATATAAGGAGTTTTTGTTGTGTTTAATGTGCAAATCCTTATCTATATCTCCAATGAGGGAGACGGTTGTCACCCAAATTTTTTGGATTATATATGAACTAATTCAGAATTCCAAGCAAAATTTAGTGAACTTTTATTTTGCAGTCTTGGATGTAGCAAGACAATGAGTTGAACAAAGATTCACACATATGCATCAAGTAAGTTCTCTGTTTGGTTTCCCATATAACATCCACAATATGCAGACAATAACATCGAAGGAAGTAATTGAACATTGCTTAATATTAGAAAAAGCTTTACAACAAGGTGACTACAATGATATTGATGCTGCAGATGTGTATAGTGAATTACAATTCACTGCAAGACTGGTCAAAAAGTGTACATCACCACAACAGCAGGGGGCTAAGCCTCGCCCCCTCAGGATCACACTAGTGAGTGAGGAGGAGAAATGGCAGGTTAATCGACAAGCAAAAACCTTAGCAAGGAGCGAGACATTTCGGGATGTATTCATTCACCCACATCGCACGGTAATGCAGAGGGAACAGCACAAGAAGCTCCTGCAGGACTTGAAGCAGAAGAGGGAGGAGTCGAGGAGGAACGGGGACAGGTGTACATGGGATATACTCAGGAGGAGGGTAGTGGAAACAAGTGTGCCGACACAGGGCCAGGGGGCAGCAGTTCACCCTCCACCCACTCAACCTCCCACCCAGGAGGCGGCACCAGCTCAGCCTACCGGACAGGAGGAGGCGAGCGCCGTGTAAACAATGACATTTCTAACCACACACTGCAAAATACAGTGTACTTAGCAAATGCTGCAGCTTGTGAGAATGGGGGGGGAGAGAGGGTTTATTACTAAGAGCAGAGACGTTACCGATAACAAATTCTGGCTTGATTGTCATGTACACTAATACTGACACGTTCCTTGATAAGAGAGGAGTTTGAAACACTACTAAGAGTACACCAACCAGATATTGTAGGTGTTGTAGAACTGTTGTACAAGAACAGGAGAATCGACCCAGAGGAATGTGAGTTCAGTATTGCTGGATGTGACTCATTTACGAACCTTTCAAAAAGAAACTTGCAAGAGGGGTGTGGTTATTTATGCTAAGCAAGACCTTAGAGCCAGCCAGGCAAGGGTACAGGGAGAGGATGTTTTTGAAGTCCAAGTGGTGTAAAATTAAATTAAAGGGAGGGGGCTTACTTATCGTCGGGTGTATCTACAGATCCCCAAACTGTGGCCCACTAAATCAAAGGAACTTAAGAACCTTAATAAACAACGCGGTGATGCTCAACACTAGCCACCTCCACACCATGGAGGACTTTAACTATGGTGACATCGACTGGAGAAACGAGTCCGCCCCGAATGACTTGAATAACCCTGCTACTATTTTTGTAGAAACTCTGAGAGATAATTTTCTGTTCCAACATGTTAGAGACCCGACACATTACAGAGGGGAGCAAACACCCAAGCCACTTGACCTCATCATAACAAAAGAGGAGGGTATGGTGGCCAAACTGGAACACCTTGCCCCAGTTGGCACCAGTCACCATATAGTGTTGTCATTCAGATTTAACTGTTACCTAGTTCAGGATAAGGCCAGGCAAAGGTGCAAATATTACAAGGGAAATTACAATGGGATGAGGGAAGAGATGAGGGGTATCAACTGGCCTGACTCATTAAGGTACAAGAACGCAGACACTACGCTGAATATCATAACTAGTAAAGTGACCCATTTGATCGGTAAATATATACCCAAGACCAAACCCAGTGCTTCTAGGAATACGAGGGGATCCCTACACATGAACCATGCGGTGGTCGACAAAATTAAGAAGAAAACCCAGAAATTCAAGACGTGGGTTGGGTCAAACAATGAGCAAGACAGGAGGATGTATGCAAGAGCCAGAAACCAAGCAGTGTAGGAGGGCTGAAAAGGAGTTCCAGAGGCTGGTTGCAAGCGAGGTCAAGTCAAACCCAAAGGCATTTTGCCACTATGCAAAGCCGAAATTGAAAACGCGAGTAGGAGTATCAGACCTGAGGCTGGTGGATGGTAGTTATGCAGATTCTGACCAGGATAGGGCTGAGGCATTGAACAGCTTCTTTTCCTCGGTGTTCACAAGAGAGGATGCAACTAACCTTCCTGCATTTGAGGACAGACGGTTCGACACAGCACCGACCAACATTGTGTTCACAGAAGAGGGTATTAGAAATAAACTGTCCAGGCTAAAGGTCCATAAGAGTCCCAGACCTGACATGGTGCATCCTAGAGTGCTAAGAGAGTTGTGCAACGAGCATGCAGAGCCCCTGAAAATCCTGTTTTGTAAATGCCTGGATGAACAAATGGTCCCCAGTGAATGGAAAGTGGCTTATGTGAGTCCTATCTTCAAGAAGGGCGATCGTCACTCCACGAACAAATATAGACCGGTGAGCCTGACCAGCATAATATGTAAAGTACTTGAGAGTATTATCAGAGATGCTGCAATGGAACATCTAATACGAAACAACCTTATAAAAGATTGCCAACACGGTTTTATGCCGGGGCGCTCCTGCTTAACACAATTGCTCAAGGAATTGGATATTTGAACCCATATTCTGGAACGGGGAGGTAATATCGACAATATTTACCTAGATTTTGCCAAGGCTTTCGACAGAATGCCCCATGAAAGGCTGAAAATCAAACTGGAAGGGTACGGAATTTGGGGAAATGTCCTAGCGTGGATAGAAGACTTTCTACATGACCGCAAGCAATGTGTGGTGATTAATGGCACGAAATCATCATCTGTACCTGTCACAAGTGAGGGTACCACAGGGCAGTGTATTGGGCCCGCTGTTGTTTGTTTGTTTCATAAATGACATGCTTGACGTTGTACACTCCTCCATACAAATGTTTGCCGATGACGCCAAGTTATTTCGGGAAGTTAAGAACCAAGGGGGCTGTGAAGAGCTGCAGAAGGACCTCTGTGGGCTCCAGGAATGGTCGAAGAAATGGCTGCCGAGATTCAATGTCACGAAGTGTAAGAGGATGCACCTGGGGCGTACCAACGGTAAGGAGACGTATCATATGTCCCAATGGGATGAAGAAACTGCACTAGTTGAGACTGTATGTGAGAAGGACCTAGGTGTGTATGTTGACAATGAGCTGAAGTTCTCGGGCCATTGCGAGAAGAAGGTAAATCAGGCAAATAAATTATTGGGTCTTATAAGAAGGTCGTTCAGATATCTAGACGGTCCGTCCCTCGTAACGATCCTCAGGAGTGAAGTGCTTCCCTATCTGGAGTACTGTCACCCCATCTGGTCCCCGAGATATGGTAGGGACTGTCAGTTGGTTGAAAATGTTCAAAGGAGGGCCACCAGACTGGTACCTGCACTTTGGCACCTCAGCTACCCTGAGAGATTGGGGCACCTGATTTTGCCTAGCTTATAATACAGACGGGCAAGGGGGGACCTAGTTGAGGTGTATAAGCATCTCAGGGGGCACTACTCAGTTGAGTGTCCTTACTTGGAGCTGGCGGACGCTCGCCCCACAAGGGGTCACAGGTCAAGATTGAAGAAGCCACAAGTCCAGAAAACTGTGAGGGCAAACTTTTTCGGAGTGAGGGTTGTAAACTCTTGGAGCAATTTACCAGAGAGTGTTGTGACGGCACCGAGTGTGAGCTCTTTCAAGACAAGACTTGACCAACACTGGAGCGGGTTCAGGTACATTCAGGAGCCGGTGCATGCCCAGTATTTGCCAACAGTGCGTGACAGAGACGTGACCGATTGCCCAAGCGGCTAACAAGCCGATCAGTGGCGAAGAGGATAAAAGTAAGACATTTTTTAATTTATGTAAAAAAAAAATGCAGATCATATTTTACAAAAATTTAAAATTACACAAGGCCACTTCAAGAAAAGTGCTTTCATTGGTACCAGATGTCAAAGTAAGTTCTTCCTGCTTAATATGCCAGGAGGTTCTTTAGGTTCTGTGCATTGTCGTTTCCATTTTCGTGTTTAGAATTGTGCAATTAGCATCTCCAGAAATTTTGGTTCAATTCTATAAACTCCTTCCGGTGCTGACTGTCTCTTTCACCATTATTCTCTCTTTTGTTGTTGTGTTGCACTTTTTACTTTATCCCCTTCGCCAGTGATTGGCTTGTTACCTGCTTCAAAGTATTGTATGTTAAGTCATTCTGGAGGTAAAGTTTCTATATTGTCTACAGTATGATGAAGTATGACCAAAACAATACAGTATACCGTTCACTGATGCTTATGTTGGGATCTGGTATAACCCAATTCATACTGCAAATAAAGGGACAGACATGATTTCCTGGGCTACAAACCTGAGCTGAGGCCGGTGATGGCACCCCCAGGTCTGATAAAGTCTAGGTGAGTACCGAGGTCCTGGACACAGCCTGTGGTGGCTGCCAAATGCCGGGTCAGGGGCCGTTCTCTGTCAACGCAAAAAGTTTGTTACATTATACACATGCAGTATTTCAAGACAAACAGCAAAAAAAAAAAAATAATAATAATAATAATAAATAAAAAAATACTGTAACACCAAGGTTACTTTAGTTTGTTGGCTAATGTATGACTCTTTACTTTAGGAAATATTGATACTGTACTGCATTATACTGTACTGTAACTTGTCTTGCTGGGTGCACATCTTACACCTCTCAGTCCTGCTCTCATCAATTGTAATTAATTAACTCTTAGTTGGATTGTAGTGGATTCCTCCCCTACAAGCACCGAACCTTCTCGAATTCCCCAGCCTACGCCTCCAGCGCCGCCCACGGAGCGGGGGTCAACTATCTACCCACGCCTACCCCCGCCTTATAAGGCCTGACACCGCTGTGACCACTCTCTTTCTACTCAGTGCCACCAGCGAGCAACACCCCGCGCAAGCCGTGCGGCTGCCGCTCCTGCCAGCGACATTGGCGTCCCTCAAGCCGCGTGCCCTCACTCTGGGCACTCTCACCACCCAGCTCTCTCTACTCAATGCTTATTACCATGCTACCTACCCAGCAACAGGCTGCATTGTACATCCAATACAATATGTATACAGTGAGCACATTGTGAGTTTCCTTTCTCCATCCCATCCTGAGTGTGAACCAATATCTCATACCCCCACAAATGAGAGCTGCCTCTGCGTGGGTAAGCCAGTCTTCCATGTTGCTTGAAGACTGGGAGAGTGATCAGTTTCTCCTCCTGGGAAGATATTGGAAGCATAATGTGTTGTCTAATGGTAGACCCTGCTGCCATATGGCATCACAAAAATTGCGACCAAGTCCCAGGTTGCTTATATGCCTTTCTCCCTCATTTACACACAATTAGAGGGTCTCAATTGTTTCTTTTACATGACAACACAACATACATATAGCATTTCTCACAATTGATATTTTTTCATTCTTGTATTTCTCAAGAAACTTGCAAGAGGGGTGTGGATATCTATGCTAGGCAAGACCATAGAGCCAGCCAGGCGAGGGTACAGGGAGAGGATGTTTTTGAAGAGCTTAAGTGGTGTAAAATTAAATTAAAGGAAGGGGACCTACTTATCGTCGGGTGTATCTACAGATCCCCAAATTGTGGCCCACTAAATCAAAGGAACTTAAGAACCTTAATAAACAACGCGGCAATGCTCAACCCTAGCCACCTCCTTACCATGGGGGACTTTAACTATGGTGACATCAACTGGAGAAACGATTCCACCCCAAATGACTTGAATAACCTTGCTACTCTTTTTGTACAAACTCTGAGAGATACTTTTTTGTTCCAACATGTTAGAGACCCGACACATTACAGAGGGGAGCAAACACCCAAGCCACTTGACCTCATCATAACAAACGAGGAGGGTATGGTGGCCAAACTGGAACACCTTGCCCCAGTTGGCACCAATCACCATGTAGTGTTGTCATTCAGAGATAACTATTACCTAGTTCAGGATAAGGCCAGGCCAAGGTGCAAATATTACAAGGGAAATTACAATGGGATGAGGGAAGAGATGAGTGGTATCAACTGGCCTGACTCATTAAGGTACTAGAAAGCACACACTATGCTGAATATCATAACTCGTAAAGTGACCCATTTGATCGATAAATATATACCCAAGACCAAACCCAGTGCTTCTAGAAATACGAGGGGATCCCTACACATGAACCATGCGGCGGTCGACAAAATTAAGAAGAAAACCCAGAAATTCAAGACGTGGGTTGGGTCAAACGATGAGCAAGACAGGAGGATGTATGCAAGAGCCAGAAACCAAGCAAAGATAGAGCGTTGAAGGGCTGAAAATGAGTTCCAGAGGCTGGTTGCAAGTGAGGTCAAGTCAAACCCAAAGGCGTTTTACCGCTATGCAAAGTCGAAATTGAAAACGCGAGTAGGAGTATCAGACCTGAGGCTGGTGGATGGTAGTTACGCAGATTCTGGCCAGGATAAAGCTTAGGCATTGAACAGCTTCTTTTCCTCGGTGTTCACAAGGGAGGATGCAACTAATTTTCCTGCGTTTGAGGACAGACAGTTTGACACAGCACTGACCCACATTGTGTTCACAGAAGAGGGTATTAGAAATAAACTGTCCAGGCTAAAGGTCCATAAGAGTCCCAGTCCTGACAAGGTACATCCTCGAGTGCTAAGAGAGTTGTGCAACGTGCTTGCAGAGCTCCTGAAGGTCCTGTTTTGTAAATGCCTGGATGAACAAATGGTCCCCAGTGAATGGAAAGTGGCTTATGTGAGTCCTATCTTCAAGAAGGGCGATCGTCACTTCACGAACAACTATAGACCGGTGAGCCTGACCAGCATAATATGTAAAGTACTTGAGAGTATTATCAGAGATGCCGCAATGGAACATCTAATGCGAAACAACCTTGTAAAGGATTGCCAACACGGTTTTATGCCGGGACGCTCCTGCTTAACACAACTGCTCAAGGTATTGGACATTTGGACCCATATTCTGGAACGAGGTGGTAATATCGACAATACTTACCTAGATTTTGCCAAGGCTTTCGACAGTGTACCCCATGAAAGGCTGAAAATCAAACTGGAAGGGTACGGAATTCGGAGAAATATCCTTGCGTGGAAAGAAGACTTTCTACATGACCGCAAGCAGTGTGTGGTGATTAATGGCACAAAATCATCATCCGTATCTGTCACAAGTGGGGTACCACAGGGCAGTGTACTGGGCCCGCTGTTTTTTGTTTGTTTCATAAATGACATGCCTGATGCTGTACACTCCTTCATACAAATGTTTGCCGATGACGCCAAGTTATTTCGGGAAATTAAGAACCAAGCGGACTGTGAAGAGCTGCAGAAGGACCTCTGTGGGCTCCAAGAATGGTCAAAGAAATGGCTGCTCAGATTCAATGTCAAGAAGTGTAAGAGGATACACCTGGGGTGTACCAACGGTAAGGAGGCGTATCATATGTCCCAATGGGATGAAGAAACTACACTAGTTGAGACTGAATGTGAGAAGGACCTAGGTGTGTATGTTGACAATGAGCTGAAGTTCTCAGGCCATTGCGAGAAGAAGGTAAACCAGGCAAATAAATTATTGTGTTTTATAAGAAGGTCGTTCAGATATCTAGACAGTCCGTCCCTCGTAACGATCTTCAAGAGTGATGTGCTTCCCCATCTGGAGTACTGTCACCCCATATGCTAGGGACTGTAAGTTGGTTGAAAATGTTCAAAGGAGGGCCACCAGACTGTTGCCTGCACTTCGGCACCTCAGCTACCCTGAGAGATTGGAGTGCCTGAACTTGCCTAGCTTATATTACAGACGGGCAAGGGGGGACCTAGTTGAGGTGTATAAGCATCTCAGGGGGCACTACTAAGTCGAATGTCCTTACTTGGAGCTGCGGACGCTCGCCCCACAAGGGGTCACAGCTCAAGATTGAAGAAGCCCCAAGTCTAGAAAACTGTGAGGGCAAACTTTTTCAGAGTGAGGGTTGTAAATTCTTGGAACAATCTTCCAGAGAGTGTTGTGACGGCACCGAGTGTGGGCTCTTTCAAGACAAGACTTGACCAACACTGGAGCAGGTTCAGGTACATTCAGGAGCCGGTGCATGCCCAGTACTTGCCAACAGTGCGTGACAGAGACGTGACCGATCGCCCATGCAGCTAACGAGCCGATCAGTGGCGAAGAGGATAAAAGTAAAAAGTAAAAGTATTATTATGATCACAGTGTTGTTATTATTATTATTACCATTAATATTTTATTTTACTTTTTATTATAAATTTTCTTTACTATGAATTATTATTATTATTACATTTTCGCCCCCGGGCCCCGATGTGGATCAGTAACCTGTGCCCGGGTGGGCTAATCCCCGTAAAAAAAAAAAATCTAAAAAAGTATCTGTGCATACTCTGCGTGAAACAATATGAGACCACAGACGATAGGTTTTGGGATATGCGTGTTGTCTCCTTATACTACAGTCAACCCTCGCTTAACGCGGTCCCACTTTACGCGTTTCCACGTTTACGTGGTACCCTGCCGAAACCGGAATGCTCACTTTCCGCGGTGTGTGTACCCTTTTACGCGGAGAGCGGTGCGAGCAGGGTGCACACAAGGTCGCCCAGTCATCAAAACATTACCGAGTTCTTCACCCGCCACCCACCACAGCCGGCCCAAGTCAGTGATAGTGATAATGATAGTGAGGATATGGACTTATATGGACTTTGAGGGGTTTGACAAAGAGGCCCTGCAAGCCTCTGTGGTGGATAGTGATACAATTGATACAAGTGATACAGGTGAGGGCCAATAATCTGCTCTCTGCCTCGGAACCAACCCCCCATCCCCGTGTGCCCAGCCATCTTTTCTACTAATGTAAGTGTTAAAAACCTAATATTATTGATATTTCTCTTAATTATTAATTGTGTGTGCATACCATCACAAACTTAAGAAGTTATTTTTACTACAACGTAGGTATTGTGTCTGAAAAAGTGGAGTTTGGGGGTCGGCCCGGTCTCTATTTCAATTAATCCCATATGTTATGTTGTTCACTTTAGGTGTTTCTCACTTTACACGGGCCGCCGTGGGTTGAATTAACCGCGTAAAGTGAGGGTTCACTGTATATGAGTGTAATCACTTGACCGATTATTTTATTCCAATACGCCAACTCACTCTCAGTGTTGGATACTGAATGGCGGTGGGTGAAGACACGCATACCAACCCTCCCGACCCATCACGAGTTGTACGTATAATTTCGGAAGCCATCGGACCCACCTAGTCAGATACTTTCTTTAGCTACTGTACAGCATCAGGCATGTCATTTATGAAGCAAATAAACAACAGCGGGCCCAATACACTGCCCTGTGGTACCCCACTTGTGATAGGTACACATCATGATTTCGTGCCATTAATCACCAAACACTGCTTGCGGTCATGTAGAAAGTCTTTGATCCACGCTAGGACATTTCCCCGCATCCCGTACCCTTCCAGTTTAATTTTCATCCTTTCATGGGGTACGCTGTCGACAGCCTTGGCAAAATCTAGGTATATATTGTTGATATTACCACCCTGTTCCAGAATATGGGTCCATATATCCAGTACCTTGGTAACTGTGTTAAGTAGGAGCGCCCTGGCATAAAACCGTGTTGGCAATCCTTTACAATGTTGTTTCGTAGTAGATGTTCCATTATGGCATCTCTTAAAATGCTCTCAAGTACTTTACATATTATGCTGGTCAGGCTCACCGGTCTACAGTTGTTTGTGGAGTGACGATCGCCCTTCTTGAAGATAGGACTCACAAAAGCCATTTTCCAATCACTGGGGAACTTTTTTTATCCAGGCATTTACAGAACAGCATCTTCAGGGGCTCGACAAGCTCGTTGCACAACTCTCTTAGCACTCTAGGATGCACCTTATCAAGGCCAGGACTCTTATAAACCTTTAGCTTTGACAGTATATTTCTTATACCCTCTTCTGTGAACACAATGTGGGTCAGTGCTGTGTCGAACCGTCTGTCCTCAAACGCAGGTAGGTTAATGGCATCCTCTCTGGTGAACACCGAGGAAAAGTAGCTGTTCAATGCCTCAGATTTGTCCTGGTCAGAATGTGCTTAACTTCCACCTTCAAGCCTCAGGTCTGACACTCCTACTCGCCTTTATAATTTTGACTTTGCATAGCGGTAAAACGCCTTTGGGGTTGACTTGACCTCATTTGCACCAGCCTCTGGAACTCATTTTCAGCCCTTCTACGATCTGACTTTGCTTGGTTCTTGCATACTTCCTCCTGTCCTGCTCATTGTTTAAATTAACCCACGTCTTGAATTTCTGGGTTTTCTTCTTAACTTTGTCGACCCTCCGCATGGTTCATGTGTAGGGGTCCCCTCGTTTCCTAGAGGCACTGGGTTTGGTCTTGGGTATATATTTATTGATCAAATGGTTCACTTTACTAGCGATGATATTCAGCAGTGTCTGCATTCTTATGCCTTAGTGAGTCAGGCCAGTGGATACCCTTCATCTCCTACCTCATCCCGTCGTAATTTTCCTTGTAATATTTGCATCTTGGCCTGGTTTTGTCAGGAACTAGGTAACAGTTAAATCTGAATAACTACATGACATGGTGGCTGGTGCCAACTGGGACTAGATGTTCCAGTTTGGCCACCATACCTTCCTCGTTTGTTTTGATGAGGTCCAGTGGCTTGGGTGTTTGCTCCCCTCTGTAATGTGTTGGGTCATTAACATGTTGGAACAGAAAATTATCTCAGATAGTTTCTACAAAAAGAGTAGCGGGTTTATTTAAGTCATTTGGTGAGAACTAGTTTCTCCAGTCGATTTTGCCATAGTTAAAGTTCCCCATGATAAGGAGGTGGCTAGGGTTGAGCATCGCTGTGTTGTCTATTAAGGCTCTTAAGTTCCTTTGATTTAGTAAGCTACAGTTTGTGGATCTGTAGATACACCCGACGACAATAAGTAAGTCTCCTCCCTTTAATTTAATTTTACGCCACTTGGATTCTTCAAAAACATCCTCTCCCTGTACTCTTGTAGTGGATATTTCCCCAACAACTGCCGTTTGTCGCTGACTAGCCAACCCCTTTTCGAATTCCTCAGCCAATGCCTCGTGGTCTAAGGTAGGCTACTAGCACCGCCTAACATAGCGGAGGTCAACTAACAAGCCACGCCTACCTCCGCTATATAAGACCTCACCTCGCCGTGACCTGCCCTTCTTCTACCTACAGCCAAGCAGCAAGCAACACCTCCTCTGAGCACCCTCACCAACCAGCTCTCTCTACATCACGCTTGTAACCACGCTGCCACTTCCCAGCACCAAGCTGCACTGTACATCCAATACAATATGTACACAGAGAGCGCATTGTGAGTTTCCTTTCTCCAACCCATCCTGAGTGTGAACTAACATCACGAAACCCCACACCCTCGCCTGGCTAACTCTAAGGTCTTGCCGAGCATAAATAACCACACCTCTCTTGCAAGTTTCTTGAGAAAAGTTTGTAAATAAGTCATTTCCATCAATACTGAACTCACATTCCCCTGGGTCGATTCTCCTGTTCTTGTACAACAGTTCTACAACTCCTAATATATCGGGTTGGTGCACCTTCAGTCGTGTTTCAAACTCCTCTCTCTTATCAAGGAATGTGTCAGTATTAGTGTACATGACATTCAAGCCGGAGTTTGTTCTCAGTAATGTCTCTGCTCTTGGTAGTAACTCCGGCTCCCTTCCAGTCTCAGAAGCTGCAGCATTTGCTAAGTACACTGTATTTTGCATGGTGTGGTTATAAATGTCATTGTTTACACGGCAGTCACCTCCTCCTGGGTGGGAGGTAGAGCAGGTGGAGGGTGTGCCACTGCCCTCTGGCTCTGTGTCGGCACTCTTGCTTCCACTATCCTCCCCCTGGATATAACCCATGTACACCCATCCCCGTTCCTCCTCAACGCCTCCCTCCTCTGCTTCAAGCCCTGCAGGAGCTTCTTGTGCTATTCCCTCTACATTACCATGCAATCTGGGTAAATGAATACATTCCGAAATGCCTCGCTCCTTGCTAAGGTTTTTGCCTGCCGAATAACCTCCCATTTCTTCTCCTCACTCACAAGTGTGATCCTGAGGGGTTGAGGCTTGTCCCTCTGCTTTTGTCCCAGCCTCCTCACATCCTGAGGGGGGGGAGGGGGCATCTTCAGAACCTCTGTACAAATATTCTCAACTGCATCTTATCGTGTGTTTTCCTACTCTCAGCTTCCTCCGACTGGCTCTCAGGGACTCCATAAACTATTACGTTGGTCCTGCGCTGCAAACCTTCCCATTGTTCCTCCTCTTCCCTGACAGTAGGTCTGCTAGTTGCCATCTCTTCAACACATTTCTTCAGAGTCCCTAGCTGCTGTAGAACCCGTTCTGATCCTGCATTACTCTCCGCCACTTTCCATGGCCCATAAGCCCCACCCTTCATCTGTAGCTACAAATAGCTGATTGGTTCCCCTGAGCGTTTAACCTCCCCCGGACTGTGCGTATATAAGCGCGTATTTATGTAAACCTTTTATAGTAAATATTTTAAACTTTCTTACATCCTCTCTGAAGTGCTAATGCCTTGAAATGATTTGCATTTTGATATTCCATATATTTTATGTCATTTTAGATAATAACAGGTCTGCTTACCAATTGTGAACACATTTAGTTTGAATTTTCTATGAACCAATCAGCTCTTAGTATAGAAGAGGGGCAGGGCCTATGGGCCAGGTTAGTGTGGAAAGGGTATAGGGATGGGGAATAATAACAGACATTTAATGGGCAAAGTTAAGGGTAGGGGAAGGTAGAGACTGGGATGAATGAATTAAATTAAAATATGAGTACCCAGAGATACAAAATCTTGGAGGATTGTAAAAAAATCAGCCCGAAATCGTTGAGGTTGGAGGGCTGTGGTTACCAACCCTCAGATAAGATGCTAGTACATACTCTGATTGATTGAAGCATAAATATAGCCACCATGTGTGTGCTACCTCGGATTATTGGAACCTCATAACAACAGCTTCCCTTATCATTGTTAAGTATAGAAAAAAATACTGTACAGTACAGTAGTGTATCTAATTTTTATCTGACTTTCTGAAAATTTAAGGAAATACTAGAAGAATTTACAGAGTATCAATAATAATTCATCTGAACAGTGCAGTTCTATGGCAGCCATACCAGTTGATATTGATATAAATACAGGTACAGGAGTAAGAAATAAAAACTGAGTGAAATTACTTATAAGGTTCTGTGGCTTCTAGGAAGATGTCAATTTGTTTCTGGTTCTTTTTCTTCTCGGTGATGCTTCCCTGGAGATGTGTGTACATAGAGTTTATAGAAACACCAAGGTCATCGAGAGTATGAACCATTGCTCGGAGGTCACAAGGTTGAACACCATAGCGGGACATGCCAGTGTCGATGTTGATGGCCACACGTAGAGGAGATCCATCCTGAAACATGTGTTGATAGTCTTCATCACTTCAAGACTGACTATACTAAACCTTGTGTAATAAAGGTTTTATTTATTGATTTTTGTGACCAAATTTTTAAAATTTTATTAGATATTGCTCCTGAGAACTGTATAAGTATTAACTATCTTATTGCAAGGTGTAGTGGCTATTTCAACTAATACATTCTTCTATGTACAGTATATTAATAAATCTTCTTACAGAGCTCAATTGCTTGAATTCTTTAATGATTACGAGACTGCATTAAACACGCTTTGGTCCATTACTGTTCCTCTTGCCCAACCCAGTTCCCCTTATACTTTCTACCACACTGATTTGTACAGCTGTCCCTCAGCTTCTTCTGCCCCAGCCCTCTATTGGTCAGACTCCCCAGGACTCCTGTCCACTTCCTCGATCCAGCTCCCCCTGATGTTGATGTTAGTGTAATATTGTACTGTATCTGTGCTTCAACATCTTATGTCTGTAAGAGAATAAACTAGATTAGTATATATGTTAGGCTCAAAGACCAAATTCACTCACTGAGGAAAAAAAAAGACCACAATGCATGTTGGATGGTCTCGAAAGTCCTCTAACCAAACCAAACCTAAACTAGCCTAACCTAAGCTAATTAAACCTAACCTAAGCTAATTAAACCTAACCAAACCTAAACTAATCTAACCAAAACTAATCTAATCAAACCTTATCTAATCCAGCCCAAACTAACCTAAAAATCTCATACTGTACAGGTATAACCGAAGTTCTTAACCTATAACACAGTTAGTCATTGACATCACAGTTGTGGGCGGAGCTTCTGGGCGACCACATAATAATAGCGGACGTGGAGGACAGATAAAGGGCTGTTTACCTGTTACTCTGAGAACAGCTAGGATGGTGTCTCATTTACTTGCCATTATTTTAACTGAAAATTATGTACTGTACTATGGTGGACAAAAGTTCTTTCCCTCAGCCAGCTACAATGTGATTGAATCACCTGAGGTTCGAATAACGAAGCAACTGAGGGAAGTGCTGTAATCGTCCAACAGATGGCGCACTGTGTAGTACGTATGATGGGGGCGCTGGTGGTAGAGCGGTACCGTTCTTGCCTCGCAAGCAAGATGTCACGGGTTCGATTCCCGGGCCAGCGGAAATTGTTTGGACACTCTTCCTAGTCCCCTTGGTCCCTGTTCACCTAGCAGTAAAGTAGGTACCTGCTGTAAATCGAAAGTTGCGAATTCGTATTCAGGGACAAGTTGTTGGAGCTTCCAATAACTTGCTTAGACATAAACCATTGACTTTTTAGGCTTCTACGCCCTCGACTCTTGAGGCTTCTACGCCCTTAACTCATGAGACATAAGGCAAGCATGAACTTAGCATGCTTCTCTATTGGGCGCTGTAAACGCTTCTGCGCGTCACCTTACACAAGGATGTAGGAGGGTGCCCAATAAATGAAAAAAAAAAGTACGTATGACGAGGGATGGGGATCAAAGGGGGATGGGGGCCAGAGGGGGAAAGAGAGGTAGGGCTGAGGGAAGGGACCTTTGTCCACCATAGTACCTGGGATAAAATTTCTACATCACGATGTTCCCCTACATACAGTTAGCCAGCTGAAACCATGGCTGAAGTGTAAAAGGAAACAAAGCAGAACTTGTGAAAAGGTAAGTTCTTCTGGTTCTGGTTCCAATTGGCTCAATCCACAACTCACTAGTGATGCAGAGCAGAGCATTCTTAACACAATGGTTCTTAACCCCAGGGTTACAACCCATATTTATTAATATACTGTAGTCAAGTAATCCCTATTTATTTTATCCCTATCTAATTCAATTTATTTCAAGTGAAGTAAAGACAAGGGTTGTCTAACTATCCCCACCACCAAATTTGGATCACAACAACAACAAAAAAGTTAAAAATCGCTGCTCTAAAGGATGTCATCAAATATTTTTCTTAATTTCCATTTCACTCACCTTTTTCAACCCAAAACAGACTACCCCCTGTATTAAAGTGTGACACTACTAATGAAAGGGATAATCGAAATAGTTTTAACCCTTAGACCCCGGGTGACATTCAAGAACGTCCGACTAGCGCGCCCCGGGTGACGTTCCAGAATGCCCGACTAGCGCCACCCGGGTGACGTTCCAGAACGCCCGACTAGTGTGCCCCGGGTGACGTTCCAGAACGTCCGCCTATTTTCCCATTTTTTTTTATAAATTTGGGAAATGATGATTTTTTTCTCTATTTAACCCCACGTGGGTGGTACTGCCAGCAGCACCCTAACCCGGGGCTTAAGGGTTAAGCCTTGGAGGAATGAGAGGTTGATCAAGCTTAATAAAATTGTGGAGATTTCTGATGTTCACTTTTTAATAGTTGTAAGATATCAATATTTATAATTATGCAAATATGTGTTCTGTCCTCTCTCTCATTCATGTTACACTTTGTACCTTTCATTTGTTTGTGGTGATAATAATTATCTTTCAGTTCAAGCATTACAAGTCTTACTTTAAGGGTCAGTACTGCTTACTGAATTCCTTACTGTACCAAGTTTCTTTTTCTGCCTCCCCAGTTATGAAACCATAACATAGCTTCATTGTTTCCTTACCTTCTTGTATAGTAGTCTTTGTTTGATACATCCATCCATATTTTTTGCTTAGTTTTTGCTTTAGAGTACCGTACACTTCCTGTACTTTTTTACTTCATTGATATTAATACATTAAGTCCTCGCTTAACGTCTTGGTCCCGTTCCTGAAAACCGTGACATTAACGGAATCAGTTTTCCCCATAAGAAATAGATAAAATACGGGAATTATGTTCCCCAGCCTCTCTTTGCCCCATAAAATACATTACATTTACATAAACTTCATGGAATTTTTAAAGAAAATAGTATATATTATACATCCAAAAAGATAAATAAGCTAAATCATTTTGTATTGTACTCACTGATGGGCGGAGGTGGAGCGAGTGTGTGGTGAGTAGTGGAGAGGAGGACGGTGGCGAGTCACTGAGACCTGGAGGGTGGCTCCTCCTCCCGCTCTGACACGCACGAACGCTGTGAAAGCCTAATAAAGACTGGGAACGCTTGGAGACACTGTGATGCTCCGCGAGAGAGCGTAGCGCACCAAGATGAGAGAGGGTGATGCGCCATACAAAGTAGTCCGTGACGACATTACAGGTAGTTCTGCTATAACGCGATAAGTGTGTTCTTGTAAAATATCGTGTTATAGAAAATCGCGTAATAGAAATAACAGGGCTTATGGAGAAAATAGGGTTAGGTGCAGATTACTCGAAATCGAAAAAATTTAGTAGTTAGCCTAACACAAAGGATAGCACAGTCTAAATAAATGTTACATTCATATCTAATAATATAATCATACAGTAAATGTAACACTTTACCTTGAAAAAATATGAATGTAACTTGATGGGGGAGAAGGGTGATTTTGAGGTTGATAACATCGAGCTTCTCTTCAAGTGTTATATCCTTTCTTTTACGATCATCACCGGGAATTCTATCACCAGAACGCTTCTTGGAGATATTCTTCTTTACCATATTCACAGTTAATACCACAAAATTGGAGAAATAGTAAGCAAAAATCGCGTTATAGCAAACAAGCGTTCGCGTTATACAAATATCGTACCTAATTCATAAATCGCGTTAGAGCAAATTTGCGTTGTCAAAACACGCGTTATAGCAGAACTCACTGTATACTGACTCGGCGGGACGTTGTCCAAATAATGGGTATCTAAAGAGTAGCGACATTATAAGAAAACAACGTTGACAGGGGCAACGTTAAATGAGGACTTACTGTAGCTTTCTTATTGCATGTACAGGGTATTCTTTACTTATTTGACCCAACACACCTCATACGGATTTATCATTTGATCATCTAATACATATCCGATTAATCTCTTGTTTGATGAAGTCATTATATTAAGTAACAGCATAATCATCTTGTATTCAATTGTATTTCTTACTGGCTATATCCCAATGTTTGTCCTGTTCCGACGGTGCCGCGTTGCTACCACGTCCTCTCAAATCTATTTTTAGTAACATCTGCGAATGACGATTTGTGCTATAGCGAAGTTACGCTTTCTTGTTGTTTTGAAAACGTCCATAACGCATTGTGGTGGTTTTTCTTTTTTTTTTTTTTGCTCAGTGAGTGAATTTGTTCAGAGCCTAACTTATGCACTACAGTATAGTATTTTTACGCTAACCTGGCCCATAATCCATGCCCCTCTTCTATACGAAGAGCTGATTGGTTCATAGAAAATTCAAGCTAAATGTGTTCATAATTGGTAAACAGACCTGTTATTGTCTAAAATAGTGTTAAATATCTGATCTATCAAAATGCAGTTGATTTCAAGGCATTAGCACTTCAGAGAGGATGTTAGAAAATTTTAAATATCTATCATAAAAGGTAGATATAAATACACGCTTATACATGAGCAGTCTGGGGGGGAGGTAAGATGCTCAGGGGAACCAATCAGCTGTTTGTAGCTATAGAAGAGGGTATAGTCATCAACAATTTAAAATTACAAAAGATACATCTCTCTGGTTTCCTCTGATGCAATCCTGTGTTACAATTATGACCCATCTGCTTTAACCAAATCTTCCTCCCCCACAAGTCCATCCATGCCAATACTAACCGGGTAGACAAGGGTGTCTCGGGGCACGGAGGTGAGAGGCGTCGTCCAGCTGAGGGAGGGGATGAGGTTGTACTGCATCACATCCGGCAGCTCGAATGTCGACAGGTTACCTGATGGTACACCATACCTGGCCTAATTCTGACACATCTGGTGTTTGACACACCTGAACATCTTTATGTTTAATGTGTATCTATATACAGTACAGTACAGCACAGTACAGTACAGTACAGTACAGTACAGTACAGTACAGTACAGTACAGTACAGTACAGTACACTCAGTATTTACTACATTCTGATCCCTGAGATAAATATATAAAAAGACAAAGATAAACAGAGATGCAGAAAAATATATAGAGAGATACCTGTACAGTAGTTAGACATACAGTAGATAGACAGATAGACAGACAGATAGATGCAGGGTAGTCATATAAATCAGTTCGAAACATACCAGAATAAACACTAACCTAAACTTTATAACCCCTCTGGGTAGTGTTATGGTGGGTAATTCAAATATTCTGAAACACTAAATATATTTTAGTTGAATAATTGTACATGTTAGTTTGACTATCATGTAGGCAAAGTGATTCTCATACACTAAGAGAGATATAAGAAGTGAAACATTGTGAGTTAGCTCAACATAAAAGCAAAAGCAGAACTCTCCTACCGCTAAAATATCCCCCAGGTTACCTGGGCCATGTAATGTTAGGGCGGTTAATCTTCGGGTGAAGTAAGTTGAGGCGAATATTCAGGTAACATCCCGAAAAATAAAATAAACAGAATACTGAAACAACACTCAAAGGACAAAGGAGTTCTTGACTCTAGTTAATCAGTAAATGAGAGCGTTTACATAGAAGGTAGCCGAACTGTCGCTATCATTAACAGTTCAGTGGGCGAATCCATGCACCAATTGTTGGGGGAAGGGGGAGGACCCAACGTAGCAGTAGCACATATTCAAGCTTTCTAGGTGTGCGGCAATAACCTAGGGAGTCTAGGGGAGCTGTAGGTGTGTATGTTGACAACGAGCTGAAGTTCTCGGGCCGTTGCGAGAAGAAGGTAAATCAGGCAACTAAATTATTAGGTCTTATAAGAAATTCGTTCAGATATTTAGACGATCCGTCTCTCGTAACGATCTTCAAGAGTGAAGTGCTTCCCCATCTGGAGTACTGTCACCCCGTCTGGTCCCCGAGATATACTAGTTGATTGAAAATGTCCAAAGGAGGGCCACCAGACTGGTGTCTGCACTGCGGCACCTCAGCTACCCTGAGAGATTAGAGCGCCTGAAATTGCCTAGCTTATACTACAGACAGGCAAGGGAAGACCTAATTGAGGTGTATAAGCATCTCAAGGGGCACTACTCAGTCGAGTGACCTTATCTGGAGCTGGCGGACGCTCGCCTCACAAGGGGCCGCAAGCCTAAAAAAACTGTGATGGATAACTTTTTTGGAGTGAGAGTTGTGAACTCTTGGAACAACCTGCCAGAGTGTGTTGTGACGGCACCGAGTGTGAGCTCTTTCAAGAACAAACTTGACAAGCACTGGAGCAGGTTCAGGTACATTCAGGAGCCAGTGCACGCCCAAGCGGCTAACGAGCCGATCAGTTGTGAAGAGGATAAAAGTAAAAGTAAAAAGTAAAAGAGACAACTTAGGTTAATTTAATGAAGAACAAAATTTTTTTCAAGTTCCAACTTCACCAGTTTTAATGTCCTTCTAAACCCAAATAAACAAAATTAATGCACATGTATTACTCCTAGTGTAGTACTATACTGTACAGTAGTTCAATTATATTTCATCTGGAATTAATGGGAGGGTTGGCATTGCTCCTCCACAAGCATTTGAATATTTGGTGAAGTCAAAGAATGAGCACACAGCCAGGGTTGCCAGATGGTCGTTTCCACGGTCAAATTTCTCTAATTAGGCCGTAATAAACTTCTTCTGGCCATGAAAAAATTGGATGGCCACGGCCAAACTATTTGGCCGAATTTTGTAAAACACATATTAATTCCTCATCTAGTGGATTTTGAAGAAAAGTCTAGCAGATTTTTAAATTTCACAATGAAAATGCTGGCTCAGTGACCTCACCTAATCAGTGACCTCACCTCTTCACATGTTTACGTGACCTACTGAGCTGACTGATCTTTCTAGTTACTACCTTAGTTGTTAGTTCTCATATTTGAGTTGTTCAGGCTGAACGTGTCCAGCATATGGGTTAAACTTCAGAGCTTACAAAGCCATCTGAGTTACTTTCTGAAATTCCGAGTGCTAGTTTTCAAAATGTCCACTAGTAAATGGAAAGGGTCCTACGACAGTGGTAGAAAATATAACAAACCAGGGGACGATGACGAACTAGACGTTTTTTGCTTACGTCAACTAGTGTTATCAAGTTCTCCACCATTATCATGCTCCACCACCATTTCAGATTAAGGTAAATCTTCACTGTGGATTATAGATACGTATTTTGTTTATGTAATTATTGGGCTCTCAATTCTAAGTGAAAATTTGGTTTTATTACGAAATTTTAAGTGGATATTGTAGGGGATACTTTTATTTTGTGTGGATTGCAAAAATAGCCTTGTGCTTCCCATCCAAAAAGTTTTGGTCGAATTTTGGGTGATTTGGCCGTGATATGGCGTGAAGTTGGCCGTGAAGCTTCTCGTACATCTGGCAACCCTGCACACAGCCTGTCATTTTCAACATTCAGTATTTTTTGATACTTAGTCTTCACAGTAACAAGTCTGTCACACAGCCTGTCATTTCAACATTCACACAAAGGTATATGAAATAAAAATAAACAATCGCTCATAATGCTTGCTGACTAAATTTTAGGTATACTGTACAGTACTGTACAGGAAAATAATTTACCCAAAACTTTTTTCATTTGAAGGATTTTGAAATCATCTATAAATCTAATTTCATCTCCAGAAACTTGTCTCCCAAATTCTGAAGGATTGACAACTTTGGAGATTTTAAAAAATTTAATGACACACACACACCATTTTTAGTCCATATAATACACGGACTTTGAACATATAATCAACGACCTCACCAGCCAGGACTCGAACCCTTGACCTAATGCATGGGACCAGGGAACACTACCGACCATACCACAAGAGCACGTGCTCTTGTGGTAGGGTCGGTAGTGTTCCCTGGTCAAGGGTTCGAGTCCTGGCTGGTGAGGTCGTTGATTATATATATATATATATATATATATATATATATATATATATATATATATATATATATATATATATATATATATATATATATATATATATATATATATATATATATATATATATATATATATATATATATATATATATATATATATATATATATATATATATATATATATATATATATATATATATATAGTCATAAATTAAGAGCAGATCAGGAAAATAACTTAATACTAAATAACTGCATAATTGCATTATAATTAGATGATCCCAATATACCCGTTCGTAACCTGGGGACCCACTGTACACAATACGGGAAAATAAACAAATAAAGCTTAAAAATTAGGATAGGATTGACTAAGGAAAATTTACCCAGTACGGTGATAGGATGGTTGATGCCGCGTTTCCTCAGGTAGACAGCCTCGCCCACCTTCGCCACAGAGAGCTCCTTCACCCCCTCCTCCACCAACACCTCCACCACTTTCATCATTCCACTCCCATATGCTCCTCCCTTCACCACGCCCATAATACCTGGAAATAATGAGGTGGGGGATGAGCTATAAGGTAGGGGCATTTACGAATTTCAATGAATTAGACAATATGAGGCTATTCTAGAAAAAGTAGTACTCTTGTATATGTGAGCATAATGGATAAGCATGTACAGATTGGCTGGAGAGAATTTATTAAGAAAATTTTAATGAGGTGTGTTCATGGCTGTGAATGACCATCCAAAAGATGAACAGAGAGTGTAGTACTGTGCCTTTAGTGAGTACAGTCCATAATGATAGCACATACCAACAACCCGTCCAGGAGAACTAGAAAAGAAAAGGAAATAACAGAATAAAAAGCTGAACTGTCTCGGACAGCAACACCGAACAAATAAGGGTGCCAGTGTGGTCAAGACCACCAGGACAGCTAAGTGATTTTTAAATAATATCGTATTATCCTGCCACAAGGGCATGAGCACACACATATCTTAGTTCACTTAGATTACAATTGGGTGTGGTTTAAAGGAAGTCATCCCAGCAAGGAGCAAATTCTTTCCCGGAAAAAGTAAGAGATTATGGAGGTAAGCATCAGCCTCTCCGTACACCTTCCTGGCACCTCAGCTACCCTGAGAGATTAAAGCGCCTGAACTTGCCAAGCATCTCAAAGGGCACTACTCAATCAAGTGCCCTTACCAGGAGCTGGCGGACGCTCGGCCCACAAGGGGACACAGCTCAAGGTTAAAGAAGCCGCAAGTCCAGAAAACTGTGAGGGGTAACCTTTTCGGAGTGAGAGCTGTGAACTCGTGGAACAACCTGCCAGAGAACGTTGTGACGGCACCAAGTATGAGCTCTTTCAAGACCAGACTGGAGAAGCACTGGAGCAGGTTCAGATACATTCAAGAGCCAGTGCATGCCCAGTACTTGCCAACAGTGCGTAAGAGAGTTGTAACCAATCAACCAAGTGGCTAACGAGCCGATCAGTGGTGAAGAGGTTAAAAGTAAAAGTCACCAGAAGTTTGTTGACATGCAATTACTGGAAGGGGACATCTAGGGAGGATTGTGTTGGTCCAAACAGAATGGCATTTAGGACGATGCTGAATGCAGTAAAGTATGGAGACTGTTGCTGATACGGCTCTAACTGTATGACCAAAGTAAACGAGGCTATTGCAGATCATAGGGGAAAGAGAAACTTAGAGACGAATATAAAGAAAGCTGGATCCTCGTTGGTTGGCAAACTAGAGCAAGCTGGGAAAGAGATCCTTAGTAAGACTGAGGAAATAGTGAGGAAGAGCTATGGTTAGGTTGCAGTAGGGTCACAGAAGGTGACGGAGAGTATTTCAGGATCCAAACAGGTCCTTCAGTGACTAGGGACTCTGCAGAAGTGTGTTGAAGAGATGATACAGGTTGACAACCATTTATCCGAAATTCCAAAAACCGAAAAGCTCTAAAAACCTTAAGTTTTTTGGTGGGTCTTTTTTTTTTTTTTTTTTTTTTACAGGGATTATTAGCCCACCCAGGCACAGATCACTGACCCACATCGGGGCCTGGGGGGCGAAAATGTAATAGTAATAATAATTATAATAATAATAATTATTCATAGTAAATAAAATTTTAATAAAAATACACCAAAATAAAATAATAATGATTACAATAATAATAATAATAATTATAAAACATAACAATAAAATTAATAATAATAATAATAACAATAATACTGTAATAATAAAATAATAATACAGTAAAGAAATACAAGAATGAAAAAAAGATCAAAAGTGAGAAACAAGACTAGACCTATAATTATTATTATTATAATTTTTATTATATTTTAGACCCCCAGGCCCCAATGTGGGTCAGTGATCTATGCCCGGGTGGGCTAATACACACAAAAAAAAAAAACCTAACCATTCTGAAAACCGAAAAATTCCAAAAACCCAAATGCCTCTGGCCCCAAGGATTTCGGATAAGGGATTGTCAACCTGTACCTAGTAGACCTACTGATATGGAAAAGGGGGAACAACAGGAACGATTCGAGTGCAGGAACAATATAATAGTGTTTGGAGTCCTTGAGTGATAGTCAGAGGAAGCTGAAAGTAGGAAAACACATTATAATATAAGATGAAGTTTCAGAATATTTGTGAGGAGGTTCTGAACTTGTCTCACCCCCCCCTCCCCCCTCTTGAAGTGAAAAAACGAGGACAAATGCGTGAGAATAAGCCCCCGCCCCCTCGGGATCACACTAGTGAGCGAGGATATGAAATGGGAAGTTATTAGGTAGGCAAAAAACTTAGCAAGGCGTGAAGCATTGTGGGGCGTATTCATAAACCCAGATTGCATGGTAATGCAGAAAGAACAGCACAAAAAACTCCTGAAGTTCTAGAAGCAGAAGAGGGAGGTTTCGAGGATGACAGGGGATGGACGTGGATGGGTTACATACAAAGGGAAGGTAGTGGTGGCAAGTGCACCAGTACAAAACCAGGGGAAAGCGGGATAACTCCCACCCAGTAGGAGGCAAGCACCATGTAAACAATGTCATCTCTGGCCACACTCCACAGAATACAACGAATTTAGTAAACGAGGCAGCTGCTGAGAATGGGGAGGCCAGAATCGCTACCAAGATCAGAGACGTTACCGAGAACTAATTCCTGCTTGAAAGTCATGTACACTAATCCGGACACATTCCTTGACAAGGGAGCAGAGTTTGAAACACTACTCAAGATACATCAACCCGATATACTGTTGTACAAGAACAAGAGAATCGACCTGGAGTGTGATTTCAATATAGATGGATAAGAGTCATTTATGAACCTTTCTCAAGCAAGAAGGATGTTGTTACCTATGCTAGGCAAGACCTTAGAGCCAAGCAGGTGAGGGGGCAAGGGAAGGATGTTTTTGAAGAATCAAATTGGTGTAAAATTAATCTAAATGGGAGGCACTTACTTATTTTCGGGTGTATCTACAGATCCCCAAACTGTAGCTTATTGAAGCAAAGGAACTTAAGGGCCTTAATTGGCAATGCAACGGCACTCAACCCTACCCACCTCCTTGTCATGGGGGTCTTTAACTATGGAAATATTGACTGGAGAAATGAAACCATGCCAAATGACCTTAATAATCCAGATACTCTTTTTGTAGAAACTCTGAGAGACAATTTTCTATTCCAACATGTTAAAGATCTGACTCACTACAGAGGGGAGCAAACACCCAAACCACTGGACCTCATCATAACTAACGAGGAGGGTATGGTGGCCAAGCTGGAACACCTAGCCCCCATTGGCACTAGTCACCGCATAACGTTGTCCTTCAGATTTAACTGTTACTTGGTTCATGACAAAAGCAGGCCAAGGTTAAAATATTACAAGGGTAATTACGATGGGATAGGGAGGAAATGAGGGCTATTCACTGGCTTGAGTTACTAAGATATACTACTACTACTACTACTTTGCTGTCACTCGGAATCGAGTATGACGATCATCCAGCTATAATACAATGACACGAGTTATTAAAGATTTCACCTTCATTGGTGAGCTCTGAGGTGACTCGAGAGGCCGATAATGGATAGGCAGGGTTGTCCACAGTTGTTGCACGTGTGGAAGGTTAAATCTAGGGCGGAAGTGGCGGTGGCAGCATCTTTCCGGCGCCGGCACTTGTCTGCCTCGGTATGCAGTCAGGCTAATTCGAAAGTATTGACACTTTCTCGTGTGGTGCTCTCAAGCGCTACGTCGTGAAGTGATCGTCTCCCAGATAAGGGACCCTGTTGCAACCTGAGCCTAGCCCTTCTTAGCTACTTCCTCTGTTCTATCATAAGACTATCCTTATACCTTTTCCGTTGCCCGCCAACGTTATGTTTACCTTCTGTGACCCTGTTCCAACCTGAGCCTAGCTCTTCTTAGCTACTTCCTCTGTTCCATCAGCTACTTCCTCAGTCTTAGTGATGATTTATTTCCCAGCTTGCTCTAGTTTGGCACCCAACAAGGATCCAGCTCTTAAGTTTCTCTTTCCCTTATGATCAGCAATAGCCTTGTATACTTCGGAAATACAGTCAGGGCAATACCAGCAACAGCCTTCATGCTTTACCACATTCAGCATCGTCCTAAATGCCATTTTGTTCGGACCGACACCATCCTCCCTAGACGTCCCCTTGTAGTAATCGCATATCAACAAACTTCTGGTGAAACTGGGGTTTTAACTTCTGATTCCCTACACCTTTGCATATCTTGTCACAAACTTTCTTCTTCCTTTTACATACGTATTTACACCTGAAGAACATGCAGGTATGGACACTCGACTCAGTAGTACCCTTTGAGATGTTTATACACGTCAATTAGATCACCCCTTGCCCACCTATAGTATAAGCTCGGATGTTGCAGGCATTTTAATCTCTCTGGGGTAACTGAGGTGCCGTAGTGCAGACACCAGTCTGGTTGCCCTCCTTTGGACATTTTCAATCAACTGATGGTGTCTAGCATATCTCGGGGACTGGACGGGGTGATGATAATCCAGACTGGGAAGCACCTCACTCTAGATATCTGAACGACCTTCTTATAGGACCTACTAGTTTATTTGCTTGATCTTCCTTCTTCTCACAATGGCTCGAGAACTTCAGTTCATTGTCGACAAACACACCCAGGTCCTTTTCATATTCGGTCTCCATTAATGCAGTTTCTTCGTCGTGTTGGGACATGTAATGCGTCTCCTTATTGTTGGTATGACCAAGGTGCATCCTCTTACACATTGTGACATTGAATCTTAGCCGCCATTTCTTCGACCACTCTTGAAGCTGATAAAGATCTTTCTGTACCCCTTCACAATCCATTTGGGTCTTAATTTCCCTGAATGACTTGGTATCGTCCACAAATATTTGTATGGAGGTGTGTATAGCTTCTGGTATGTCATTTATGAAACAAACAAACAACAACGGGCTCAATACACTGCCTTGTAGTACCCCGCTTGCCATGGGTACACATGAACATTTCGTGTCATTAATCACCACATACTGCTTGTGATCATGAAGAAAGCCTCCAATCCACTCCACGACATTTCCCCAAATCATGTACCCTTACAGTTTAATTTTCAAATTTTCGTGGGGGTACACTGTTAAAAACCATGTCGATATCACCACCCTGTTCCAGAAATTGAGTCCAAACATCCAGTACATTGAGTAATTGTGATAAGCAGGAGCGTCCCAGCATAAAACTGTTGACCATCCTTTACAAGGTTGTTTTGTAGTAGATGTTCCATCATGGCATCTCTTATAATGCTCTCTAGTAATTTAAACACTATGCTGGTCAGGCTCACTGGTCTATAATTATTCGTGGAGTGAAAGTCGCCCTTCTTGAAGACAGGACTCACAGAAGCCATTTTCCAGTCACTGGGAATCCCATGCTCATCCAGACATTTACAGGACAGTGTCTTCAGGTGGTCAGCAAGCGAGTTGCACAACTCTCTAAAGCACTCTGGGATGCGCCATGTCCGGGCCGAGTTCTTATGAACCTTTAGCATTGACAATTTATTTCTTATACCCTCTTCTGAGAATATAATGTGTGTCAGTGCTGTGTCGAACTGTCTGTCCTAAAACGCAGGAAGATTGTTCGCTTTCTCTCTTGTGAACACAGGAAAAAAAATTGTTCAACGCCTTCGCCTTGTCCTGGTCAGAATCTGCGCAACTACCATCTTCAAGCCACAGGTCAGAAACGCCAACTCGCATTTTTAATTTCAACTTTGCGTAGTGGTAAAAAGCCTTTGGGTTTGACTTGACCTCACTTGCATTCTGTCTCTGGAACTCTTTTTTGGCCATTTTACACTCTTGAGTTTGCTTGGTTCCTGGATCTGGCATACATCCTCCAGTCCTGCTCATCATTTGTCCTAACCCACGTCTCTAATTTCTGTGTTTTCTTAACTTCATCAACTGCCGCATGGTTCATGTGTAACAGTCTTCTTGTATTACTGGAGGCACTGAGTTTGGTCTTGGGTATATATTTATCGATCAAGTGGTTCACTTTATTGGCTATGATATTCAGCGTAGTGTCTGTGGTGTAATGTATCTATTGTGGCAGCATTATGTTAGTGTTACAGTGAAGGCACTGCTTGCTTCCTCTTGCAGCTGCCGTCGCTGGCTAACCCTCGTGGTGAACAGGGAAGCAACTTGTATACGGTAAGTCTTACTCTGTCAGTACACAGCCTCTTCACCATCAAGACTCCTGCTGTGCCTCCCTGTGGCAACACACGGTAACTGGGTGCCTTATGGTCCCAGGCTAGATCAGCAGGGGCCCCAGAGGAATGGTGCACAGGCCCAATGGCATGTAGGCACTCCCTGGCGCCTACCAACCACTGCCCCGCTGCCATGTCGTTTAACCTTGGTAGGTATAAGGCTACGGGAGTAAACCCCAAACGAAAAATCTTCTGTGGAGCCCCGAATCAGGCAGACATGCTTACTGAGCTCCAGTAAGACCCCAATGGCAAAATAGGTGGAAGAGGTGACCAACATGGGAATCCAAAAACTGCACCGGTGGATGAAGGCAATTTAAGGCAGAATATTGGGCCCATTGTTGTTTGTTTATTTCATAAATGACATGCCAGAAACTCAATACTCCTCCATACAAATGTTTGCAGATGATGCCATGTTATTCAGAGAAATTAAGAAAAAACAGACTGAAGAGGTACAGAAAGATCTGTCAGCTTCAAGAGTGGTCGAAGAAATGGCTGTTAAGATTCAATGTCATGAAGTGTAAGAGGATGCACTTGGGTCATACCAACAGTTAGGAGGCATATCACATGTCCAAACAGAATGAAAAAGAGCATTAATAAAGACCAAAGGTGAAAAGGACCTGAGTGCGTATGTTTGACAACAAACTGAGGTTCTCTGGTCATTGTAAGAAGGTGAATTAAGCAACTAAACTAGTAGGTCTTAAAAGAATGTCGTTCAGATATCTAGACGGTCCGTCCCTCATGATGATCTTCAAGAATGAGGTGCTTCCCCGTCTGTTCCCAGAGATATGCTAGGGACTGTCAGTTGATTGTAAATGTCCAAAGGAGGGCCACCAGACTGGTGCCTGCACTAAGACCCCTGTAACTGCCTCGCTTATACTACAGGCGGGCAAGGGGTGACCTAATTGAAGTGTATAAACCTCTAAGAGGGCACTACTCAGTCGCGTGTTCATACCTGAAGCTGGTGGATGCCCGCCCCACAAGGGGTCACAACTCAAGTTTGAAGAAGCCACAAATCCAGAAAGCTGTGAGGGCAAACTTTTTCGGAGTGAGAATAGTGAACTCTTGGAACAATATGCCAGTGTTGTGACGGCTTACTATATACAAATTTCGCATATACAGTATGCACTGAGTCTTTACATTGTATACTTGCCATGTCTATATATGTGCTGAAATAATGTAAACTTGTATGACAAATTTGCTTCATAAATATTTATGTAGGTATCTATCTGTCTCTAGCTAGCTATCAATCAATCTATCTTCATTGTCCTACAGGAAGGTTACATGGCAGGGCAGAATCTGTTGCCTTGGAAAAGAAGCAACAAACTGGACATAACTCGGGAACCAACATTAAACAGAGACTCACTAACCCCCGAATGTGTAATCTCTTTACCTATCCTATGCGTAACCATACCTACCTTAAATATGACTAAGCCTAGCCATAACTACCATATAACATAAACCTAACTTCAATTACCCCAAACATAACATTAACTAAACCTTGCCGAAATTGCATGGAAATTTGGTCGTGGTTCTGTTTTAGATATCAACTTTACCCCAAGAAAGGACATATGACTCGTGTTGATTTGTACTACAGTAGAAAATGTCACTCAGATGTAACATTCAACTGCTTATCAATCAATTGTGTAACTCAGTTGTGTCACTCAGGGGTGTAACTCACCTGTGTTGGGGCCAGAGAGAGATTTGAGCACTTGGATGTTGTGAGCGACGGAATCCAGGTTAACGTGGATGAAGGAAGCATCCCGCACCCTGCAGAAGGCCTGGGCGGCGAACTGCAAGAGGATGCCGGCAGCAGTAGGCGAATCTGCAGCCCTAGGTTCCACCACCTCTCCTGACTCCTCTCCGGTCATGTTGGTCCTGCCTACCAAGGTGTCCACACTTTAAATATTATCACATCATTACAAAATAAGGATTACCTGAACATTAGCTCCCCAGAAAATTCCACCTGAAGATTGACCACCCTAACATTAACCTAACCCCTGGGTAGCGTTAGGGATTCCCAATCCCAGGGTCACAAGCTTCACCAAAGATTCAGATTTATCCCACATAATGAACAACATCAAGGGTCACATAGAGCTCATGGGGTCGATGGGGTTGCCAGGGCCTTAACAATGATCATAAATGTACCCAAATGTAGTCGCAATGAAGTCAAATAATGGTCCTAGATGAATAAATCGGACTGCCAATCACTTTTCGACTAGTATTTGGTGTCACAAAGTCACAAAAAATTGGTAAACTTAATTTAATCTGAGTTAATAGATCGAGTGCATGTACCTAACCTAACCTAACCTAAGCTCGACTAGTATTTGGTGTCACGAAGTCACAAAAAATTGGTAAACTTAATTTAATCTGAGTTAATAGATCAAGTGCATGTACCTAACCTAATCTAATCTAATCTAATCTAATCTAATCTAATCTAATCTAACCTAACCTAACCTAACCTAACCTAACCTAACCTAACCTAACCTAACACAACACAACTGAGATTAAATTAAGTTTACCAATTTTTTTTTACTTTATGACACCAAATAATAATCGAGAAGTGATTCACAGCCCGAATTACGCATGTACGACCATCATTTGACTTCATTGCGGCTACATTTGGGTAATTCCTCGCTCCGTCGGTACATGCACGCGGTCTATTAACTCAGATTAAAGTAAGTTTTCCAATTTTTTGTGACTTTCTGACACCAAATACTAGTCGAGAAGTGATTAGCAGTCCGATTTATTCATCTAGGACCATTATTTGACTTCACTGCGGCTACATTTGGCTATATTTGGGTACATTTGGGTAATTAGTCGGACCGCATTGTGGAACCGAGCAGGATAGGACTCGGAGCAACGGATTCAAGTTGGATAAGTTTAGGTTTAGGAGGGAGATAGGAAGAAACTGGTTCACAAATAGGGTGGTGGACAAGTGGAACAAGCTTAGCAACTTTGTAGTAAGTGTTGGAACTCTGGAAAGTTTCAAAAGGAGGCTAGATAGATTCATGGATGATAGAGAGTGGTAGTAACTCTCTACAGGAGCTGCCATGCACAGGCCAACCGGCCTATTTATTTTCTTATGTTCTTATGTAACTAACACAGCATAGGAATTATTAAATATATACATCATGAAAGTTTAATATAAAGAACATACATAACTGAGAAGAGAATTACTTGTATAAGAATGTAAAGTGTATTTATAAATAAAGAATGGAAGAATAATAACAGAAAATATCTGGATGGTAAATTATTAAAAGAGAAAACTCGGCCAGTCACATTAGAATTGGTGACCCCAGTCTGGCAGTATGGTTTGTATGGTTTTGAGACGGTGAATCTAAGAACACTCAAACTAAGCAGAGGGAAAGAAAGTGAAAGTCTTACACCGGTGCGGCTAGCCAGCTGAAGACATTGCTACGTCCAACCAATATAAAATGGACAAAATCATATTTTCATACTACATAAAATTTCTTGAGTCCGAAAAACTATGTAGGTTTAGATAGTCTGATGAGATTTTTGTCGTGAAGCCTCCCGGAGGATTAGAGCCGATAGCTGACACACGAATTATGATTAACAGTGGTGTGTGGACTTAGGTTACTAAAGTGTCTCAAACGTACACAGCGTGAGGATAATATTTATGAAAGTATATACTGGCAATACTGTACGTATTATAGTACAGGATGACTGCTATCGGTAGACAACGAAAGTCAAGAATGACATAACTGAAGTACAGCAAGTGCCAGTTTACACCACACCACAGTACACTTTACCACAATGTATCATTTTACTTTATCCTCTTCGCCACTTGTCAGTGTACCAGCCGGTCTGTTAGTTGTAACTGTTGGCAGGTACTGGGCATGTACGGTCGTCTACCTCAAACATTACTTCACAGTCTGTTCCTGACACATTTACCATGAGAACTTTAATCTTATCGGACGCATCACAAACCATTTGCAACTAAATAAAGCTCATTTACATAATCACTCACAGAAACAATATTCACATCCTCACCGTTACGAGACTGAAAGATTGAGATTGAGTCTTCGCACTTAATAATAATATAGATTATACAGTAAAGTGTTTATGATGTCATCGGGCAGGTATTAGGACTCACCGTTGTAAGTGCACGAATTTACTCCGTGTGTGATAATTTCCACGGTGAAAAATAGTATTTGCGTGTAACTGTACTAAGAGCTCACTACCGAACACATACACTCCCTTCCCAAGTTAGGAGGATACTAACACTACAGCGGGTGGGTGCGGGCGTCGACGCAACGGGATGGTCTGGCATGGGGGAGTGGTGGGGCAGGGCTGGGGAGTGCTGGGGCAGGGCTGGGGAGTGCTGGGACAGGGCTGGGGAGTGCTGGGGCAGGGCTGGGGAGTGCTGGGGCAGGGCTGGGGAGTGCTGGGACAGGGCTGGGGAGTGCTGGGACAGGGCTGGGGAGTGCTGGGGCAGGGCTGGGGAGTGGTGGGGCAGGGCTGGGGAGTGCTGGGGCAGGGCTGGGGAGTGCTGGGACAGGGCTGGGGAGTGGTGGGATTATTTATTTAGGAAAAAAATACACTTAGGGTCAAAAGCGTTTAAAGTTGGCTTATTGTATTAGGACCTGGAAAGTACCACTAAATTAATGAGACTTTTTTTTTACTCAAACTTATCTGAAAATTGTCACAACTACAGTTGAAAATGCATATTACAAACATGAAGCAACTGCTCAGGCACAATATCGATTATGTACTACTATTGTAAGGAAAATACAGGGGTTAAACAATTATTTGCTCCCGTACTGGCAATGAGAGACCGGCCCGCAACTACAGTTATAACGTAAATTTACCAACAAAGACTATCTTATAGTCTTTGTTTACCATAAATGTGCGTGGATATGTGCCTTCAAATGAGTGATTAAGTTGCAGTTTAATACCCACTGAGTAAGCCCCCCTTTTATAGTTTAACAGTAGACCCTGCTGCCATATGGCATCACAAAAATTGTGATCAAGTCCCAGGTAGCTCATCACTTTCTGCCTCATTTACACACAATTGCTGGGTCTCAATTGTTTCTCTTAATATTGACAACACAACATAAATATTGTATCTCGTTTCTTACTCTTGATATATTTTTCGGATTTTTGTATTTATCTATGGTTATCATTATTATTATTATTATCTTTGTTATAATTTGTATCTATTTTTATTAATTATTATTATTTTTTTTTTTTTTTTGGGGGGGGGGAGGGGCACACTCCCCCTCCCCTACATCCATGTGTAAGGTGAAGCGCAGAAACGTTTACAGTGCCCAACAGGGAAGCATGCTAAGTTCATGCTTGCCTTATGTCTCATGAGTTAAGGGCGTAGAAGCCTGAAGAGTCAGGAGCGTAGAAGCCTGAAGAGTCAATGGTTTATGTCTAAGCAAGTTATTGGAAGCTTCAACAACTTGTCCCTGAATACGAATTCGCAACTTTCGATTTACAGCAGGTACCTACTTTGCTGCTAGGTGAACAAGGACCAAGGGGACTAGGAAGTGTCCAAACAACTTCCGCCGGCCCGGGACTCGAACCCGTGACATCTTGCTTGCGAGGCATTATAACCCCCCCCCCCCCCCAGGCCCCGAAGTGGGTCAGTGACCTGTATTCGGGTGTTCTCATCCCCGCAAAACAAAAAAACAAAAACAAACTCTGGAATGCACCCTATCAGGGCCTGATCGGAATAGTGTGTAAAGTACTAGACAACATTATAAGAGATGTCATGATGGAATGTCTACTCCAGAACAACCTTGTAAATGACTGCCAACACGGTACGCCGGGACGCTCCTGCTTGACACAATTACTCAAGGTGCTGAATGTTTGTACTCAAATTCTGGAAAGGGCTGGTAATAAAAATGTTATAGATCTGGATTTTGCCAAGGCTTTCGACAGTGATTAATTGAAAATGTAAATGTCCAATGGAGAGGCTCCAGACAGGTGCTTGCACTACACCACCTCAGTTACCAAGCAAAGACTAGTCTTTGGTCACCAACAGAGATTAGAACGCCTGCAACTGCTTAGCTCATACTACAGACGGGCAGAGCGTGACCTAGAAGTTTATGAACGTCTCAGAGGGCACTACTCAGTCCACTGAGTCCAGTGTCCATACCTGGAGCTGATGAACGCCCGCCCCACTAGGGGTCACAGCCCAAGGTTGAAGAAGCCACAAGTCCAGAAAGCAGTAGAGACATACTTTTTCGGAGTGAGAAGTGTGAACTCTTAGAACAATCTGCCCAGTACTTGCCAACAGTGCGTAACAGAGACGTGACCGATCGCCCAAGCGGCTAACGAGCCGATCAGTGGTGAAGAGGATAAAAGCAGAAGCAGACGTTGTAGTGACTGCACCGAGTGTGAACTCTTTCAAGACCAAACTTGACCAACACTGGAGCAGGTTCAGGTACATTCAGGAGCCGGTGCATGCCCAGTACTTGCCAACAGTGCGTCCCCTCTCACATAGGCCTCATAAAACATGACAGAGTTGATGCCCTCTCAGCACGGGTTCACCCAGGGACGTTCTTGTCTCACAAATTTGCTTACCTTTTTCTCAGAAGTATATGAAGCGGTAGATAATGATAAGTCATATGATATAATTTATTTAGATTTCAGTAAAGCATTCGATAGAGTCCCTCATGAGAGATTGATAAGGAAGGTAGAAGCACATGGAATAGGTGGATCAGTATTAAAATGGATTAGGTCATGGTTAACTGGTAGGAAACAAAGAGTCAGCATAAATGGATTTAAGTCAGACTGGGGTGCGGTCAAAAGCGGAGTTCCCCAGGGATCTGTATTAGGCCCTCTGCTGTTTGTTATATTCATTAATGATCTTGATTTAGGTATAACTAGTAGGATTAGTAAATTTGCAGATGATACCAAAATGGGGAGAGTGATAAATTCAGACAGTGACTTTGAACACCTTCAAAGAGATCTAGATACCTTACATGAGTGGTCAGTAGACTGGCAAATGAATTTTAATACTGATAAATGCAAGGTACTACAGATAGGGAAGACGAATACAAACGTTAAGTATAAACTAGGTAACACGGAAATAGAAAACTCAGTTTGTGAAAAAGATCTAGGTGTATTTGTTAGCAACGACTTGAAACCTAGAAAACAATGTATTAGCGTTCGCAACAAGGCAAACAGGATTCTTGGGTTCATATCTAGGTCTGTGAGTAACAGAACTGCTGACGTTATCTTGAAACTTTACCTAGCATTAGTGAGGCCACACATGGATTATGCGGTTCAGTTCTGGTGTCCTTATTATAGAATGGACATAGATTCCTTGGAGAGAGTACAAAGAAGAATGACAAAAATGATCCATAATATTAGAAACCTTCCATATGAAGAAAGACTGAAAAGCTTAGGCTTACATTCATTAGAGAGGCGTAGAGTTAGGGGAGATATGATAGAGGTGTACAAGTGGGTAAGTGGGATTAACAAGGGTAAAATGGAAGATGTTCTGAAACTCAGTAATAACGAAATAACTAGAACAAATGGATATAGGCAAGCACTGGTTTGGTAATAGAGTTGTGGATATGTGGAATAGGCTACCGAGTGCTATAGTAGGATCGGGGACGCTAGGGAGCTTCAAGACGAAGTTGGATAGGCACATGGAAGTGCTGGGATGGGTGGGAAAGGGATCTGCCCTGTATGGGCCAGTCGGCCTCCTGCAGTATCCCACTTTCTTATGTTCTTATGTTCTAACAAAGACACCGTTGAATACAATTTGGGTCTGTCAAAAAGAACCATTAAAACTGTAATTAGGAAAGAACTTATTGATGAATTTGACGCAAGTAGACAAGTGCAAACAGGCACTAGTCGATCCATAGCTTACCATGGTGAGATGTATCAAGTGAAATATGTATATGGAGCAAGTAACAGGATCACTAGATTACAAGATGTTGCAACCGCTTGATTAAGGTTAGGATATAAGTACCTCTGGCAGTATGTTCCTCAAGCAGATGTAAACAAGACTAAATGTAAAGTGTGTGGCCAGACATATAGCCACACACTTGAACACTACGTCCTCGACTGTGTGAAGATAGAACCTTTTAGGGACAGGTCCAAGCACACTGTGTGTGAAATGGCACAACACTTCATCTCTAATGGCAAGATAGCCGACATATTAAGATTGTATCCACTTTTTTGCACTTGGTAACTGTATCAGTTCTCATGTATAGAACCAAATACACAATGTGCTTGAATACTTCTCACGCAAATGTCAATAACAAAGTGTGCGGCCAGACATACTGCCTCACACGCCTGTACTCACGCATTTGTGAATAAGTTACCCTTTATGTATAGAACTAAACACAAAATGTAATTGAAATACTGTGTAACATTCAGTGCCATAATATCCTGACAACGGGGGCTAATTATTATGACCCGTTGTAAACTCTACTCTGTAATCCTTTTGCGCTACCGCTCACAGGATGAGTGTGGGGTGCACAATAAAGTAGCCGCTGCAAGCGGCAAAATAAAAAAATCAGTGCATAACAGAGACGTGACCGACCACCCAAGCGGCTAACGAGTCGATCAATTGAAGAGGATAAAAGAAACTTGACCAACACTGGCGCAGGTACAAATACATTCAGGAGCCAGTAGGTCTACACACCCAGTACTTACTAACAATGCCTAACAGAGACGTGATCGACCACCCAAGCGGCTGAGGAGCCTATCGCCATTCGGCACACCAACGTTGAAGCTCAAAATATTTAATCAAACAGTCGACATACCAACAATAGAGTGCCGTCTCCAGGACAAGCATCCAAACTAATAGGGATTGACTTGGCCCATATGATATTCCATGTACAGTCACCCATAAAAGTCCTGTCGCCTCTCCCACTGTTCCACAAACACCAAGATTCATATTCGTTAACCTGAAGCAGTAGATACATGCATTATTCTGTCCATATATAATTGTCTGAAATCTCGGGGTTTGTGGTTGATGAGAGGCGACAGGAGTTTTGTGGGTGACTGTACCTGTACGTCAATATTTGTCAGAGTACAGTTTATAATATAAAAATAAACTTGAAATTATGTAGATTTATGAAAATATTATCTACTTTTCATTTTGTTTTTTTTATCTTACAGGATAATTTACACAGAAAGTTTTAATTTGCTATAACACAAAAACGATTCCAATAATATTGAATATTTTTGTATATGTAAGGTACATTAAAGTCTTGACAATTCTATATGCACAGGTTTCCTCAATTATTAATCTCATAAACTCCTTGTAATGATGTGTAAAACGATAAGAATAATAATTTAAAATCACGCTGATGATTAATCTAACTAATGAAAGGTTATATTAATGTTTTAGGAGTGGTTGAAGTAAAGGGTAGGCGCATGCGCAGTGGCTGGAGCGCGCACGAGGTGGCCAGCCAGCGTCCTGCACACGACTAACAACCCTTGCTAAAATGTCGACAGAATCAAAATCCAAGAAGATAGACGACCTAAGGGTTGTGGATTTAAGGATCGAGTTAGAGAAGAGAGGACTGGATAAAACTGGAATTAAAGCAGTGTTGATGGAACGTCTGAGGAAGGTATGGACCAATAAACAGAGGGTTGTGTTGAGCTGGTATTAACCCAACACAAAATGGTGGCGGAGGTGTTGGCGGTCATGGCGCAAGAATGTATTTACTTATATTTCATGATGTGAATGATATTGGCTGGTAAGGTATTAAGTCTATAAAGATTTGAAAGGGTATAGGGAGAGAAGGATGATACTCGGGTTGTGTTGATGGAACAGTTACATACAAATCATTCATGTGCGTAGTTGCAATACGTGGATTATTGTGTGTTCTTAGTGTTCTCGTGCTTGTGGTGTGTTGATGGAGTGACTCACATAATACAGTAATTGGTAATAATTCACAAGGTGTAAATCAGCGAAAGATAACCAATCTTTATTATTAATTCAACCGTGAATTTATATATTTTTGTTTGTCAATCACGTGGACAGTTGGTATACATAAGAAAATAAGGAGTCTGCAATAGGCCGGTTGGCCTGTGCATGGCAGCTCCTGTCGAGAGTTACTACCACTCTATCATCCATGAATCTATCTAGCCTCCTTTTGAAACTTTCCAGCGTTCCAGCACTTACTACTTACTACAAGGTTGCTAAGCTTGTTCCACTTGTCCACCACCCTATTTGTGAACCAGTTTCTTCCTATCTCTCTCCTAAACCTAAACTTATCCAACTTGAACCCGTTGCTCCGAGTCCTATCCTGCTCGGATATTATAAGAACTTTATCTATATCCCCTTTATTGATTCCTTTCACCCACTTAAATATCTCTATCATATCTCCCCGCACTCTTCGTCTTTCTAGGGAATGCAAGTTAAGTTTCTTTAACCTATCCTGATATGGAAGGTTTCTAAGTCCCGGAATCATTTTTGTCATTCTTCGCTGCACCGACTCTAGTGAATTTATATCCATTCTATAATAGGGGCACCAGAACTGAACCGCATAATCGAGGTGCGGCCTAACTAGCGCAAGATACAGTTGCAATAAGACCTCTGCACTCTTGCTACTTACACTTCTAGATATAAAACCCAATACTCTGTTTGCCTTATTTCGAACATTAACGCACTGTTTTCTAGGCCGTAGGTCTCTCACAAGTCGACTTCTCTAGGTTGATGTTGTTCAGGCTGTATACATTATAAGTATTTGTTCTTCCAATATTAAGTACGCTGCACTTGCTGGTGTTGAATTTCATTTGCTATTTTTCAGACCACCCCTGCAGTTTATTTAGATCCTCCTGTAATGCATTTGCATCCTGCCCTGAATTAATTTGCTGCCCTATTTTGGTGTCATCCGCAAACTTGCTTATGTCACTGCTGATCCCAGTATCTAAATCGTTTATGTAGATTATGAACAAGAGTGGGCCTAGTACTGACCCCTGGGGAACCCCACTGGTTACACGGCCCCACTCAGATTTAACACCATCTACGCTGACCCTCTGCGTTCTATCGGTGAGCCATGATTTTATCCAATTTAAAACTTTCCCCTCGAAACCATGAGCCTTAATTTTTCTCAGAAGCCTCTGATGCGGTACTCTGTCAAATGCTTTGCTAAAGTCTAAGTAAATAACATCGTAATTTCGTCATTACTACCTCGAAGACTTTTCTAAAAAACGTTAGCAGATTTGTTAGACAAGATTTTCCCTTTGTAAACCCATGTTGAGAGTCGTAGATTAATTTGCTTTTCTCTAGATGCGATTGGATGCTATCTGCTATAATTGATCCAAGAAATTTCCCCACTACTGACGTCAAACTGATCGGCCGGTAATTTGACGCTGATGCTCTGTCTCCCTTTTTAAATATGGGTACTACATTCGCCTGTTTCCACAACTCTGGCACAACTCCAGTGTCTAATGATTTTGTAAATAAATTTACGAGGGGTCCGCTAATCTGTTCTCTACACTCTTTTAAGACTCGAGGAAAAATGTCATCCGGCCCTGGGGATTTTGTGTTCTTTAGTTTATTTATCTTCTTAAGAACATCCTCTTTTCTGATGGTGATATTCTTTAATTTCACTTCTTCCTTTCCCTTAAATATCAGTTCCACCTCCGGAATTTCATCGCAAATTTCTTCTGTGAAAACTGATAAGAAGTAGCTGTTCAATGCTTTGCTCATGTCTTCACTGCCATTTATCAATTCTCCCCTCCCTGACTTTAAAGGCCCAACTTTGTCCTTGACCTTTGTCCTATATACCTGGAAAAATCCCTTGGGATTCGCCTTGGATTCTCTTGCTATTTTGATTTCATAGTCTCTCTTTGCTTTCCTTACATTTTTCTTAACATTCCTAGATAGTTCATTATACCTGTTTCTGAGCTGCTCCTCCCCTCCCTTTAATTTCTTATATATTCCTTTCTTTATTCCTATGTCATGTTTAAGTTTTCTGGTCATCCACCTTGGCTCATTCTTATTTGACCTAATTTTTCTGTATGGTATATATTGTTCTTGTGCTTTATGTAGTATACTGGTGAATATATTATAGTCATGATCAATTGTTGTGTCATCTATGACCACCACTTCCTACTGGGAACTGACGTGACTGTTCCCAGGTGACCTCACCTAGGTACCTTCTTAACCCCTGATAATCCGCCAACCGAATGTTTGGGACTCTGACCATATTGTCATTGTTTTTCGTTTCCCAATTTAGGGTGAACCTGATTTCTCTGTGATCACTGTTACCTAGTTCTTCCCCTACTGTGATATCTCTGATAATATTTTCTTTATTTGTTAATACTAGGTCTAATATATTGTCACCTCTAGTAGGTTCTGTAATTAGTTGTTTCAAAAAATTGTCCTGTACTGCGTCTAGGAAGTCTTCAGATTCATAGTCGCCTACAATGTTGTCCCAGTCAATAGTGTGTTGATGGAGTGACTCACATAATACAGTAATTGGTAATAATTCACAAGGTGTAAATCAGCGAAAGATAACCAATCTTTATTATTAATTCAACCGTGAATTTATATATTTTTGTTTGTCAATCACGTGGACAGTTGGTATACGAATTACTTAGTCGGTGATTTACAGTAAATTTATAAATTAAAAACAGGAGTCTTGCATACAGTTGGCAGTGTGCAAGAATAAGATATTGAATAACATGTTAGGTGTCACAGTTAACTAACCTAATAAACATAACAAAAAATAAGGAGTGCAATAGGTCGGTTGGCCTGTGCATGGCAGTTTCTGTCGAGCGGTCTGACTAATTACCCAAATGTAGCCGCAATGAAGTCAAATAATGGTCCTACATGAATAAATCGGACTGCTAATCACTTCTCGACTAGTATTTGGTGTCAAAGTAAAAAAAAATTGGTAAACTTAATTTAATCTGAGTTGTGTTGGGTTAGATTAGGTTAGGTACATGCACTTGATCTATTAACTCAGATTAAATTAAGTTTACCAATTTTTTGTGACTTTGTGACACCAAATACCAGTCGAGAAGTGATTGGCAGTCCGATTTATTCATGTAGGACCATTATTTGACTTCATTGAGACAACATTTGGGTACATTTGGGTAATTACTCGCTCCCTCGGTACATGCACGTGATCTATTAACTCAAATTAAATTACGCTTTCCTTTTTTTTTACTTTGTGACACCAAATACCAGTCGAGAAGTGATTGGCAGTCCGATTTATTCATGTAGGACCATTATTCGACTTCATTGCGGCTACATTTGGGTAATTAGTCGGACCCCCTGTCGAGAGTTACTACCACTATCACCCATGAAGTAGCCTCCTTTTAAAACTTTCCAGCATTCCAGCACTTAGTACAAAGTTGCTAAGCTTGTTCCATTCGTCCACCACCCTATTTTTGAACTTGTTCCTTCTCGTAACAATTGTTTTAAATTAGAAAAAAAAATAGATTTAGGCGCGAAATAGGTAAACATTGGTTTGGAAATATAGTGGATGAGTGGAACAAGTTACCAAATATCATCACTAACTCGAATACGCTAGATAACTTCAAACATAGGTTGGACGGATGTATGAGCAATAGGGGTTGGGTGTAAATGGGACTGCCCAGTATGGGCCAATAGGCCCGCTGCAGTTTCCTCCATTCTTATGTTCTTATCTCTCAACTAAAACCTAAACTTTTTTCAACTTAAATCTGTTGCTACGAGTCCTATCCTGCTCGGATATTATATGAACTTTATCTATATATCTCCTTTATTGATTTCTTTCACCCACTTAAATACTTCCATCATATCTTCCCGCACTCTTCGTTTTTCTAGGGAATCCAAGTTTAGCTTTTTTAATCTATCTTGATATGGAAGGTTTCAAAGTCCCGGAGTCATTTCGTCATTCTTCGCTGCACCGCCTCCAGTGAATTGATATCCATTCTATAATAAGGGCACCAGAACTGAACTGCATAATCGAGGTCCGGGCTTACAAGCACCCTTAAGTCTCTTAAACAAGTTTACTTCTCTAGGTAGATGTTGATATACCTTGACAGTATTTGTTCTTCAAATATTAAGTAGTTGCTGGTGTTGAATTCCATTTGCCATTTTTCTGACCACTCCAGTTTATTTAAATTCTTCTGTAGTGCATTTGCATCCTGCCCTGAATTAATCTGCCGCCCTATTTTGGTGTCATCCGTAAACTTGCTTATGTCACTGCTGATCCCAGTATTTAGATCATTTATGAACAAGAGTGGGCCCAGTACTGACCCCTGGGGAACCCCACTGGTTACACAGCCCCACTCAGATTTAACACCATCTATGCTGACCCTCTGTGTTCTATCGGTGAGCCATGATTTTATCCAATTTAAAACTTCCCCTCGATACCATGATCCTTAACTTTTCTCAGAAGCCTCTGATGCGTTGCCAACCTGGCTCGTTACAGAAAAAAACCATTTTGTCACCAATATCAAATCCGCTTCGTCACCACTAACACATCGTTAGTCACTGGTATTAGAGTGACAAATTGTTATTATTTTACACGAATGTAAATTACACACATACAGACGACTCAAGAATTATTGAGGGTAAATGTATATGACTAACCAGTGATCGAAATTGATTGAAAAAATTATGAAA